TAAATATTGAGATATTTGGAATGTGCTTTTTATTTAATTTTCTTATATGCATTTTAATGTTTTCACTAATGTAATTTTTTGGGAATTAATAATTTATTTGTGCGCTGTTTCTTCACCAGATTCTTCTATATCCTTACTATGTATTGTTGATTTATGTTTTATTTTAATTCTTATAGAATATATACAATATATTATAAGATATTTTCACACTAGCTACCTTCGAGATTTTAGGAAATTTACATTATTTCGCATTGTACAAGTTTATTTTCCCCGGTACTGTATCTAACATACAATACATTTCAAATTTCCGTAATTTGATTTTTATGCAACATGTATGGATTGTTTATGCAGAATTAAAACAGCAAAGAATTGTTTTCACTTATTTTCATTGTAAGCCTTCATATAATATTTAATCCCATAATGAAATGAATAATATTTTAATATTAATTAATAAAAATACATTCGTAAAAATACTCTCTTTAACAAATTGTTTTGAATAATTGAGAGCTAGACTTTTTAAACTAATATGACCTTTAATTATTCTAAATAATCGATTTTGAATGAGATGATCAGAATTAGGAAGTTTGCTGCTTTGTACTGCGTGGCAATGGTCGAATTTAGATGAAAAAATTCTCTCATAGAAAGGTTGTTTGGAAATGAATAAAATCATAATTGCAATTAAAGCACAGAATGTGATCTTTTAAGAAAAAAATTCAGCACAAATTGTAGCTCGAAATTGGGTTTGAAATATTCTTTTATATATAACTTTTAATACACATAAAAGCTTGGTGTAAATTTGAAATTAGTTAATAAGTTTTTTTTTTAACTCTGGGGCTTACAAATTAAGGGAATTCTTATTTTAAATTAAAATATTCATTTTTTTTATAAAATTCGGAACTTAAATGTTAAGGCACTAATAGTTTGGCTTGGTTGATAGGTCGTAAACTTCTTTCAGAGGTTATAAAGAGCCAATCGTTTATACAAATGTGTATAACTAAAACGAAAGACCCTTAAAAAGATTTAGATTCCTACGTTTTAAGCCATAAGTTTTATAGCTAGCAAATTCTTCTTTTGATTGGAATGCCTTTTAATTCTCTGTTTATTTTTTCTACGAGGAAACACCCTTTTTATTGGGGTAATTGCAAAAATTACAAGTCACTTTGTATCGGAAATGGGTTGAATTACAAGATAAAGGGTTTTGATCTTAAGTAATCCATATAGAAAGCGCCAAAAAAAAGGTATACCCGAATGCATTGCCATGGCGTATAAGTAACGTCCATGAAAAAAAGATATAAATTCCTTTTCTATCAATTAATATATTTGTAAAATGTCTTTTCGTTCGGTTTCAACAGATCAAAATTTGTGAAAATTATGCTTGAACAAGTTTCTAAAATTTTTTCTAGTCAATTATTTTGGACTTTCCGCCTGATTTTTAATAGAGATTCGGAGAGAATTGGTCGAAACATATAGTATCATGCAGACATCGTCAACTATATAAATCATGAAATTATATTCAAAAAATACCAAACGCTGCTACTCAAGCGGAGAGGAGTACTTTTTCATCGTAAAATATTTGTTATATTTTTTTGAATAGCATAAAAAAATCTATGTATAAAACTTGAATTTTTGATAAAAAAAAAGCGATACAACTTTTTACCCTTGACCTAGTCTGAGTATATCTTTTTGACCGTTACAGCGTACCAAAACATTTTCTCCTTTTATCCATATCGAGTTGACTGACTAAATATTGTCAAATAGAACTACACATTTTACTACCAAGCAGTGTTGTTTAACATTTTTACTTCATTTCTACTAAGATATAAAAGTTCTTTGCCTTATTTTACTTTGGGATCCAAATAAATGAAAGTGTTAATTAAGCGCATCAGAAGCTAATAATTTGTGTCTTATGGACAGTTCAGGGCAGTATGACAGGAAAGTTTAGATCTTAATGTATATTAAGCGCTAATTGCATTTAGGCGCGAGCCCACTTTTAAACCTCGTTCCACCGAAGTTGCGATACATCGTACTTATGTTTGTAGACATCGGAATAATTAATTAAAAATTTTAGTTTAACTTAAAATTTTATATTAAATTTATATGTCAAAGGGATAGTCAATAATATTTTTTTTTTCAGTTATTTAAATCGAAAGATCAAACAAACCATACACGCTGCATAAAAATACATAGAATATATGTATATGCATGTACGTTTTTGTTGTATTGACAATCTAATCAAAATTTCTGCGACGTCATGCCGCTTGATTCTATGTAATCTAATATAATTCGCCCATAATATGTATGTGTATATATGTACGTTTTGTATATGTGTAAGAAATGGCAAATTTCATTTGAATGTGGCTGTAAAAGTTCGAGTCAAATGCGTTCAAATATGCATGCAAGGAAATTTCTGTTTTTTTTTTACGAATAAGAATATGGCTTGGTATATATGTACGAGTATGTGTGTATGTATTTGCCAGTAGATGGTTGTGGTATTCCTATTGCTAAGAAATTTGCTTCTGCGTAATACGTATTGTTGAGTATGTACACTACATAATCGAATGCGCGAAAGTGTTTCTGCCGCTTTCTGTAATCAGACTTCATGTTTTGCATTTTTTTTTTTTTGTTTAATATAGTTTTGAGACTTGCTAATTAATCTATGCTTTGACTTAAAAAACTATTAAATGTTCCATATTTTCTTTTTATTTGCTTCGTGTATTGTTTCATAAGTTGTAATGTTAGCATGTATTGTATTTACTATATGTCTGTATGTACATGTGTTTGCATGTATGCATTTGAATTTACTAAATTTCGATTTATTAAAAGTAAAGGTATCTACAAGTTTCTTTTATTCTATAGTGATTTTGACTAGCTACGCTGTATTTGTGTATGTATGTATGTATGTATGTATGTTATGTATGTATATATTCTATAATGGTTGTACCTAAGTACGTATGTACATATGTATGTACGTATATACATAAATATACATATATCAGTGTAACAAATTTAATTTAGTTAAAATAAAGAGAGATTAATAAATCAATAATAATTTCCCCATTTGCTCTATCGATTTTCTATTTTCTAGGACATTCTGGCAAAGCTCTATGTTTGTATGTTATATGTATGTTTCATAATTTGGCCCCAAGTTCCCATTTTGTTTTTACTAAATATACTCGTATGTGTATATATGTATTTATGTATCAATGTCAATGCATGCGGCTTTATGTATTTATGTACATATGTATTTCAAATATTCATATGTATGTACATACATTATAGTGAATACATACATGTATTTCTTATGCACATACATATGAATATGTTTGTATACACAAAATTTGCATTTATTGTATATAAATTTTGCTATTTATTTATGCTAAGTTGTTTTCATAAAATCATTTTGCTTTAAGCACTAATTAAAACCCAATCGAATTCGTCGGTAACAAAATGCATGTACATACATATGTATGTATATATATGTATCTATGTAATGTACAATATGACTCTTCCGCTATCCTATATAAAAATAATGTGATTTTGCGTATATACAAATACACAAACATACATACATATATGTATGTGCATATGTGTTAGCTAGTATTTATTATATGTCTAAAGGTGTTTAACGAGTGTCAAAAATGGCTTTTCTTATAGTTGGTACATATGTACGAGTACATATTTGTTTATTTAAGGTATGCCTGTATGTGTGCATGTGTTTATGAATGTGTGTATGTGTGTGTGTATGTGTGTGTGTATGTGCTTGTGTGAAAACATGTAACAAATTTCACTAAACTGTAGTTAAAATTCTCTTAACAAATTAGCAATGAAAATGCAATTAACAATTTTCAACTGTAGTATATCTATGTACAAATGTGCACATACATACATATGTATATGTATTTATGTATGCATGTATTTGTGTCATGTAATTTGTGATAATGTTTTGGACTAAAATTCAACAGAAACAAGGCAGTATCTGTGTATGTATTCATAACAGCATATACATATCTATGCGTATACATATATACATATATGTATGTATGCATATGCATGTATATACATATGTATAAATATTTTGGCTATGGATTCGTACAAATAAGTATGTATGTATTTATTACATACATATGCAGTTGATTATCCTTTTCTCCAGAAATTCAGAGATTTATGGTGAAATACGAGTATATTATATATATATATGTTACTATGTGTGAGTGTATGTATGAGTTCTCATGTATACACATTTATTATTGCGAGTAACTATATCTATGTATGTATGTATGGCTATGTATGACTTTTTCAGTTAACTTCTACTGCTGGCCCATTCAAGTATTCATAATAAATGTTCGAAACTTTAGCTGAACAATTCTATTTAAATCGACTCTTACATATGCACATATGTAAGTATTTATGTCTGTATTTATGTATGTATGCTTGACTTTGTATGTTTGCTTGCTATTACAGAGTATGATACAAATGTTGAACAATTTGCGCTTTTGCTGTTGTTCCATTCTGCATTAGTGAGTCTGTGTGGCTTAATGATGGGTGTGATTCACCGACTGAATGATTCGCATATTGTTGATACCTTTGGTAAAGCTCATGATCAGAATAAATTCTTGTGGTAGCTATATCACATCGCGTTTCCGTAGCTTGATGCGGTAACACTAAAGATATGGGCCTGTATGCGGAACTCTGACGTGTTCGCTGTGCATGATCTGTCACCAAGCCAGATATTTGGGGTTCCGTTGCTGCTCGTGTGCCCATGCGCCAGTAAGTTGCATCCTCAGCAGTAGGATCGATATCAAAGACGAAGTTAGTAGCGGCGATGCTATCGTCTAAAGCAACTTTTTCGTTCAAATCGGTATTCATGAATGTTGTTTCTGCCAAATCGGTATCGGATGCAGCAGTGAAATGTTGTAACGGTATTGTATCAAAATTATGGTCTAAGTCCGGTGCAGAAAGTGATGGAAATATGGCTTGATGCTATACCCAGATCTGTTCCCTTCGATTACGCATACGCAATCAAAGCCTTTGCTAGCACCAGTCCTCCTCATCCGAATCGGAGTGACGTGCGTGTAAGCCTCCTTTTGGCTTATAGCCATTTAGAACAGGTGATGGCAATACTCTCCCCGTTCTGCCCATAGCAAGCGCTTGTTCAAACGATAGCGGTGCTATGTATTCCAGTCTAAAAGAAAATATTACATAAGACGGTTTTAATAAAAAATGTAGGTTATGTTTTTGCAGAGCAAATTTTGTATATTTATTGTATGTTTTCCTGCTCTTCTAGTTCGTTTTTGACAAGCAGTGCGATACTCATTCAATGCTCAACCGCTAAAATGTTTGTTTGAAATTATTTAGTTTTCACACTTCTTTAATATTTCGAACTGCATAAAAAAATTTGAAATTATAAAAAAAATTCCGAGAAATAATTCAAAGTTTTCGCTGAAAACACTCTAATGGCGAATTCGGACATAATGGCGTAAAGATAGCTTCATATCGAATGTAGTTTTTAACTTAAATCTGTTCTTGTAATATTCATTACTTGAAGAAATACTATATTTATGTATATAAAATCTCAGCCAAATGCCTTAGAATGCTCCTCGATCGAGGAATTAGATGGCGGAAAGCAAACCGCAACAAAGCAAAGCGGCAACAACTTTAGATTAACTGGCCTATTCTGTGGAGGTAACAAAATTTACTTTGGTATTTAAATTTAGCATTCAAACAGATCACCTGATTTGACCCCCTCTCCCCACAAAAAGAAGTCCGAAGGGGTTAAGTCAGGTGATCTGTCAGATGGTGCCTTTTCGCCACGACATTTTTTCGGATATGCACGTTGAATTAACACAATGGAACGTCTGTTTTCGATGTAAAGTGTCATTATTTCAGCGCGTTGTTTTGGTGTAAAGCGATCCATCTGATGCAATCGCTCGGGTGGTAAATACGAATGTTATTCAGCTTTTACATACCGACATAAAAGATGGGTCGGGTTAGTAAACTTATTAGGCTTAAAGCTGCACTGATAATGTCAGAACTACATATTTTATGTCTATGTAAATATAAATCATTCTAAATAATTATGACCAAATTAGTGATTTAATTTTTAATTAAGCTCGTCTGTCTGTTTAAAGGCTTTCATATAATAATTCTTTGTCTATAATGTAGATATTTATAACGCACTTTAGTAATTATGTAAATAGATGCACATATGTATGTAGTTAAGATAAATATACTAAAATATATTATACCTTTCTCTTTCGAAATCCCTTTGTCGATCACGCTCTCTCTCATATAGTTCACGCTCGTGATCTCGATATTCATATCTCATATCATAGTCGCGTAAGTGATCTCGATATCGGTCACGATCGCGTTCTCTACTACTATACAGATCGCGGTACATAGTACGCTCTCGCAGCAGATCACGGTGGTGTGGCAAAGAATGAACACTATGAGGTGTCGAGTGATGTGTCTAAAATTATGGAAAATATTTGAATTATAGTTATATATAAATATGGCATAACAAAATTGATATCAAGTTAACATATAATAGGCACTACGCCTACAAAAGGAAACATAATAAAAGTAGAATTTGAAATGTATTAAAAATCAAACAGAACCAGTACCAGTATGTGATTTTTTTTCTTATGAGTGCCTTTGGTAATATTTTAATATACACAATTTTGTATCATAGCGGTATATTTATCATCAAACTAGTCTAAGCAGGCTGTTGCTAACTCTGTAAATCTTAACTAAAAAAACTGCTTAAAGTAGGCCTTTGCTAGAGCATGAGTTTGATGCTCATGAGGTTAGAGTGCAACTTGCCTTTTCAGTGTCACTCTACCTACTACTATGACCCATTTTAATAAAACACCTTCAATATTTAGCGAATATTCTATTGAAACTAAATGCAGCAAATTAAAATTTACATATAACATAATTGGCAATTTATAAGCGTTGAAGTGATTTTTGTGCTTTAGTAATTGATAAAACAGATTACGAGAACATGTGCTCATAATTAAGTCTGCACAGTAACGACAAATTAACGTTAAACAAAAAAATTCAATCGATTCAGTTAAAATACTTCCAAATGCTATCGTTAAAGCAATGAACTTTACTTCGTTTTCAACCGTAGGAAAAAGCTGTCGTTTATGTTACATCGTTAACAGATCATGTTAAATGTTAAAATTGAAATGTACTGTTAATAACATAGGAAGCAGCCATTTTAATATTAACATAAGCATAAGTTTGTGCGGTTTCAACATTAATAAAAATCTTTTCGTTTCGATAAAATGGCGCCGAAAAGAAATTAAATCGTTTACATTACATTGCACTACATTAAAATTGAATACTTACATGTGTCGGACTTGCATTAAGTTTCGGGAAATTGATATTTGTCGGCTTCAGTTGTAAAGTTGATGGTTTACTTGGAGTCGGTGGTAGACGTCTACCCATGCCCGCACGTCGTGATGCTAACGTTGGGTAACTGTATTGTACGTGGGTACCACCTAACATACAGTAAAAGTAGTACAAAACACAAGTGGCAAGTGCAATATATTAGCATAAAGATTTCATTATATTTTTTTTTTTTAAATTAACGATATTATAGAAAAGTGATAGATAACTGTTTATTAGAATTCGTATGTTTTAGTTGAATAAATTAAGTAATGTAGATATGTCTGTGATTATAGACCGATTAAAGTTTTGAAATACAATAAATATTAAAATAAAATGTAGAAAGTCTTTTTCAGTGAGTTTAAGATTTTTATAATTTACAAATTATGAGTAACGGTTCTGAAAATGAAATGAATGTAATGTAAAACAAGAAAGCAAGACTTAATTCGGACTAAACCGAACAATAAATACCCGACTGTTAATGTTTTTATTATTATAAATAATCCGGCCCGAGATAGTTTAAGGCTGTGACTCCCTCTATGTGTTATATTGTTTTTTAAAAATTTTGCTTTTCTTATGATGAGAAATGAAAGGTCGGTTATACAATAAGCCATTCAATCATCGTCAACAAAGAAGCGTTTTTTTTTTTAATTTTTTTAATTACCGTTGTAAGGGAGTTTCGCTTAATCTTCGCTTGATTTAGCCCCTTTTTATGCGATCTACGCATGTTAAAATCTGAAAAATAGTAGAGTCAATACTCGGACGGATGTATTAACGGATGGTCAGTGCAGCATGGTTAAATATATTCGTCTCGTTACTCACATTACGCACCTGCCTTGTGGTGACCACAATTAGAAAAATTAGCTTAATTTTTTTGTTTGGATGTTGGTACGGAATCGAAGCAAGCACCATTTGCACGGTAATACGCACTGTCAATCAATTTGATATTGCAGCCGCCTCACATTACTGGTAATTGTTAACTGAAGAAATCTAATATGCCTTTGGCAGATTGCACAGCCGGGTATAAGATATGTGCGCCTTAAATTGTTTACATATATGTATGTATGTAAATACCTAAAATTATTGAATGTGGTATATTATATGTGTGTGTGTGTGGAATTGCAAGACGTTTTCGACACGCAGTTAAATTATGGCCACTTCAGCAACCTCATCATTTTCACCTTAACTTTGGTTTCAGGCAAACGCACTTCCAGGTACATATATCGAATTAGAGTACTGCCTAATAAGTTATTTAACTTGAAAAATTAGTTTCTGCCTTCAACCTTCTAAGTAAAGGTTATGGAACTCATTTGTCACGCAATTAATTTTAACTATATCCACCGAGCTGAGTAGTGCGGATAGTTAAATAGTTCTTCATATTGATAAGGGATTTTAAATGTTTCTGGAAAATGTAATATTTAATTTAAAAATCCGTAGCGGAAAATTAGATTAATGCTATATAGTGGAGCACAATTGCGAGCGGAACGTGTAGTTTATTTGAGTATATTAAAATCAATGAGAAATCTCTATAAAAACAAATGCTTGAGTGTATATATAGTATTTTATTCTCTGTGATAGAAATTTTCGTCTGTGAGACAAGCCGTTTCTTAGTCGCTCAAAGTCTCACGGAATTATGCCGCTCCAATGCTGGGCGCATTTTGAGGTTATTCCCATCATTTTCGTTAATGGATGAAAAGGAAATAAAATGAATTATTAAATTAATATAAAAATTTGTTTAAATCCATCCTGACTGTATTGTTTTTATGATAAAGTGGCGCAAGCCCATTCGTTGGCCAAAACTATTTTGATTAATTAACCGTTGAGAGAATTATGTATTACGGGAAGTGCAAATTTGACCGATCAATCAACATGATGTTGCTCAATGAGATCATGATATCATTGATATAAAAAAGCTGGCTTTTTTTTGGAGTTTCTTCTTGACAGCACTTGATTAATAACGCCGAGAGGAGGTAGTTTCATGCTGGAAATATTCTTAAAGAAAATTTCTTTTTTAAAAGCTGCCATGTGCTATGATCTAACGGTAAGATTACGCACCAATTATGTAGGTGAGTGACGAATTGTATCACTGCAACAATTTAAATAAAGCTTTTGTTTGCGTTTTGTTGAAAGGGTTATTATCAAAAGACATCGTAGCGTTCCTTAATGAGTTAAATAAAATATTAACAGCAGCAGAATAGTAGCTCAAATATCTTAATTAATGTTTTTTCTCAGTTTCTCCCAATATTTTTCACTTATTGCCTAGAAATTTTCGATACATATTGCATTTAACAGTTAATAAGTCGAAGCTTTTTATTATTACTCTAAGTTTCTACACTAGATACCTAATAGATCGGATACGTGAAAGGTATAATTACGAATAATTTAATCTTTTGATGAGGACTACCACCTTCTTTGCATTTAAATTTCGATTCTCCTAACTTTAATTCCTTTCGAGTAAGAAATTGTTGCTGTAAAAGCTGCATTGAACCGCACTTTCCACTGGACACCCGGACACAGATTTTCTTCTCCTGATTAATGTCTACATTAAGGGTTTCATCGTTGGAGCGACTATCCTTAACATTCATATACATACATGTGCATATTTGTATGGTTGCGATTTTGTTGCTGTTCCTGTATGACATTTACTATTACTTAATTTTAATTTGCTCTTTGTATATATTGTACAATGCACAGACAATGGATATTTACATATATATGAATATGTATGTATATGTGGTTAGTATGTAAATTAATATATATATATATATATATATATATATGCAGTAATTATATTTTATATTAGGAGCGATAGTGTATGGTGTACGAGTACGAGTGTGTGGCATTATTTGGTTTACGAGTTAAACATGAGATACAGTGGAGAAACGCAACGGATGAGAAGATGCGATGAATGAGAGAACGGTTTTTAAATTATATTAATATGTGTTTATCGAGTTTTTTTTTAATTATCAATTTTGTGTTTAATTTTAAAAGATTAGCGAAATTTTGGAAATTTTTTTTTTTTTAGTAAAACACATTTTAATTTATTGTTTATTTTGTACCCATATCAATCCCATAACCAAGTCTATCTCGTTCACGCATCTCCTGAAGTCGAGCGGGACTCGGCGAACGTGATCTCTGACATAGGCTTGTTGTCCCATATGTGGGAAAAGGCAGTTCTGTACGCCTACTGCGCGAATAATGGCCACCATAACGAGAAGGCGAAGGCGAACGGGCCGGACTTGTCGATGCTGACCATGAACCTATACAATAATACACAGGGCTTTGGTAGTATCAAAATTCATTTCATTTCAAGTAGATAAAAATTATGAAAATTATATTTAAATAACACGATTGTATGTATAAATATGTTAGTAGTTAGTAAGTTTGTTTAGAAAAACTAAATACAAGAACTGTTAATTTTCTTTTTAATTTTACAAAAAATATGTATATGTTATAGGATGCAAAAAAAACTTTAAATTATTGTTTGTTTGTAACAACTGTAAAAAGGAAATAAAACAAAAATATACGCTACCATAGTATACAAAGTACAATAGCATCAGTTTGCTAAAATTTTGGTGATACTACTTATGAATACATATATATACGAATTCTTAAAATGTATTAATATATTTAATGAAATTCCAACCACAAACTTATTAGTACAAACTTCGAATATTGATCGTTTTATCTTAAATATCTAGCGCGACACATGATTATGACAATAACAATATGCAATAGATAATGAAGTTATATCTCAATTTGCGTTTAAAATTAGTTTGTTTTTCAAATCATAAACATTAGTTTTCCAATTCATAAAAGGAATAACGCAAAGGCTTAAAAATTTATTAGATTTCAACTGTGTTTCTTTGTTTTCATTGCTTCGCATGTTCAATTTTCAGTTGGGTGAATACCACAACTAGGAAGCATGTTGTTCATTTATATATATATATATATATATATATATATTTAACCGCTGAAACGATTTTTCGGCGGAGCTTCTCCTCCAATTTTGTGGTAATGCGTCTTGATGTTTATCCAACAAATGGAAGGACCTACAGTTTATGCTAAGCCGCCTCCGAACAGCTGATGGTTTTTTACGAGGAGCTTTTATTTTTTGTCCGAAATACACTCGGAGGTGTGGATATTCCCTGCCGAGGGGTGACCGCAATTAGAAAATTTCACTTAATTTTTATTTAAATTAGTTTTCACTAATTTTTGGATGTTAGTACGACACCAGGATTTGATTCCGAGCCTTCCGAGTGGCAGTACGCAATGCTAACCACTCGACTACCGCCCCATTTTTATATGGCACACGACGAAATCTTTTATCCTTAAAACTCTTCATGTCAACGTATATTTAGATTATTGGCTTATATGGCTGCATTTTGAATTACTTTCTTTTTCACCATTTTTAATTCCAAATTAAAAAAAGTAGTTTTTATTAAAACGTCATTTGTAGAAAAATTTTCCTAGCTGCTTATAAGATGTTATTATATAACATAATAGCAAACAAGAAAGTAGAGCTGTCCTCGGTCATGCCGAAGTCTGTACACCTTTAATTTATGGCCCACATTCTTTCTCTCATGTATTCTCTCAACTGAAGAAATCGGTTCTATAGTGGCTACTGCTATTGCCTCGATATGAAGATTTTCAGGTGTCAATATTTATTTGTCGAAACAAAATTTCAAAATTTCAAATCCAAAAGATCTTTGGTGTTTAGTTGAAATATCTAAAAATCGCTAATTCTTGCAACTTCCAATGAAGGGAAATAGTCACTCATACGCCCTGACTAAAATTGGGTTACAAAAAGAAATCCGTTATTTTTGCATGAAATTGAAGGCTGAAATTACCAAAGTTAGAATGATTCGATAAAACACCGAGGATGTCTTTATAAGCACCTGTAACGTACTTATCAGGGGGGCTCCTGCCAAGATTTGAAATTCGTCGACTTTTTCGTCAGGCCGAGTAAAGAAGCTACCTTCGGCGGAATATTCAGTCTCCACGACTAAACATCTCCAAATTGGTTGAGGCTGATCGAATTCCCTGGAACTCATAATATGATTATATGCAGTACTGAATTTCAGGAGAAGAAAATTTAACACGGCCTTGGCCGACAAGTCTCCAGTATTCTTGATGAGCGTCCGTTAGACAACAGACAATTCAATGGGTTTTTTCTCAACTTTCACTCCTACTCTCTGAGAGCATTCATCAGCAACTCCGCATAAAGGAAATGTGTGACGGCATTTCCTTGCCCGACTTTGAAGAAGTTCGAATAGGAATCGGGCGCTTGCAAACAACAAAACGACAGGGCCGATGTATTGTCATCTGAACTAAAGCTCCCTGTCTACAAACTGATTGAACGTTATCAGTGTGGCTTGAGACCTGGTAAATCTACCATTGGCAAAGACCCGTGAAAAGACGATCAATACAGTCTGCGACTGCACGAAAAGAAGCTGTCTCCAAGACGATATATCTAAGTTCGGTACACCCGCAAAACTTACACAAAAAGGTTTGATAAGATCGGGTAGGACTTCTCCGAGTCATTCGATATCAATAGAGAAAGTACAACCTGCCGGTGTACGTCGATCTAAGTTCTGTACGAGGGTATCTACAATGCATTGAATATATAAATAATTCACAAAAAAAAGTTGGCAGAGATGGCTCGATAAACTAAAACATTTTTTTTGGTCGTCAAGTAGCTCCTTATCGGACCGCTATACAGAAATTTGTGGAAAAACTGAAGCTGCTGAAAAGCCTCTCCACACTCAACCTGTAACTGTTTAGTGCAGTCCAGTGAGATTATTGGATCTTTTTGATATTTTCTGCCTATTACCGCGTTTATACCACAATAATAGTAATTATAAAATCTAAATTAATCAAAATATAGAAAACCACACGAACATATAGCCGGAGTCTTCTAGCTTAAGTGGATTCAATATAAGTAGGGTATACTTACATTGGTTTAATAATTTATTTATTAAGGTTTAATAAAGACTTTGTAATTTTTTTGCTCTTTTTCTTTACAGTATCATTTTCTGTAAAACGATATATGTACATATGTGGGCCTTAAATAAAAATACCCGCGAGTACCTTCTTTTCCAAGAACTAAAAATTTGTCGGCTTCCTATAAAAACATGAAAGAAGTGATGCGTTTAGCCACTCCGTAGCCTTTATACTGCTCATGAGCATATCACACTTTTTGCAAAATGCCGAATTCGATTTCGATTTTCGATTTATGAGCAGTTACTAAATTTCGCGAGCTGAAACCTCATATTATCAGAAAGACGCATAGACGTACTGACGTACAGACGAACATGGGAAAATAAGCTCAGCTTGTCATTTTGATCATATTGGCATGGATATTTCTCTTCTCCTTTAGGTATTTACTTACATACTTCGGACAAAAGTTAATATGCCATTAAATTATTGAACAACCCAATTTATTTTCATCTTGATTGCCTTTTTCGTATTATCAATAAAATAATTAATAATAATTTAAAATAAAAACTTATGAGTTAAATTATACTAAGCTAGTGCTACATCAACGCTCGGCAATAACTGTACGAAGTAAAGCAATAATGTCAAAATACCAGAGATGATTAGTAAACTGAGCGCCCGGAAAGCATAATGATAATTCTGTGAACCCTTCAACCCTTCAAGGATAAACGTAATTGATACTTTGGTAAAGTTTTTAGATTTTAATTTCAAAAAACGCATTTTTAAATGGTTCCTTGATCTTGCTGCATTCACAGTTTTTAACCAATAACTAAACAACATCAAATATGTAACCTTGTTAACGGTAATTAAACTTTACCTTTTTATAATAAGTAGCTTTCGATACTGTTGAAAATGAATAGGCAATATTATCAGTGAAGCTAGGTACTGATTTATGTATTATGTCATTTCTTATTTGCTAAAAGCAATGTAAATTCCACCTTTACGTGCCAAGGAAAGCTCAAGCAAAAATTATGAACTCTTCTCAGTGACACCAAGAAGTCATTCCACCTCACATTCGCATTATAAAGCAATAATGAATGAAATTCAGTAAATATTTCAGGACTTATTTGCCTAGAAATAGAGCCCTAGGGAGTTTTTCCCCAAAGTTAATATTGTTGGGATCTCCAGTTGCCTAATCGAGAGTGATTGTTTATGTAACAAAATGTTTCTACGTACATACAAATACAATACAGGTTGAATTTCTATATATTTCGAAAATGTTTTTTGAATTCTACCTAAAATACAATAAATTAATGAAAAATCATGCCTCTATATCATATTGCTTTACATACATATTTATTAGGGTGGGTCAATAAATCCTTTTTTTCGTTTTTCTGAATCTAACTTACGAAATCTTTGCATATTAACTTCGTGTAATAAGTTTCGTTTCATTTCATTTGATATTTTTCATAGAAATCATTAGGCGGTCAATTCGCTATTACTGGTTTAACAAACTCGAACTACAGACTTACCAGCAACTGAAGTCAGATTCAGAAAAAAAAACAATTGGATTTTTTTATCCACTTTAACATATATACATACATATATTATGTACTAACATTTATATATGTATATATCAATATTTATATATATATGTATATACATATGTATATATAAATATATATAGATAATTATTTGATTTGCATACCTCTTGGATAACGCGGATGCCCATATCCGTGCCTAGGATGACGGGTCTCCTTGACCATCTCTACAACATTAGATACGGTATCGGAGAACCCAATATCATGATGTATGTATTGATGGCCTCGCCGTCTAGGACTTGGAGATCTGGCCAATGGAGATCCGTTATGTCTGATTTGGTATGAATATTGTAATTTTTGTGAATTATTAATGAATCAATTAACGCAATTCGTAAACATTAAGAACAATCTTATTCACATACATACATTACTCATATTATATTATTGTATTTCATTTTATTTTATTTTATTTTGTGCAATGTGTGTATGTGAGCGAGATAATTTAAGTGGTGATCTGAACAAATATCACTCACCTAAGGCTCGGTGATCGGCGGTGATGACCATTGTGATACGCGTGGCCAGGATGTAAATGACCAGCATCGGCACCGGTTAAAGATTCCTGAGAAGGATGTCTTGAAGCATCCTGTAATTCCAGCATCTGGCGAAAAATAATATGTGTGCAAATGTTAGTGAAATTTAAACGATAATCGTTTTGATAATTTGCTAAAACAACTGATATCATACAAAGTACATGGATACTTTAGCGGGAAGGTTTCACAAATATATTACACAATATATTTAAGGCTTTTAACTGTTTATATATATAATTTAAAAGCTACATATATCATACTATATGTATATATGTGGTTAAGTTGAGTATTCGCTATACAAATACGGTTTGTAAGATTTGTTGAACGTCAATATACATATATATATAATATATTAAAAATGGGCACTAAAAGTTAAATGCAGGATAAATTGTGTGTGTGTGTATGTTTTCATGGCGTAGGTGTGTGTGTTATAGCATATATTTGTGTTTATGTATGTATGTAACACTTACAAAAATTACTCTTTTCTACTTAAGTCACTATATATTCATTGCATTATTTGGATTCTAATAGCCTTCGTAAAATGTACGCCATTTTTTCGCTTTGTAAAAAATTTTGTTAAGTTTTGAATATAACACTATTCATTGTTTGCTCATCTAAGGCGCTGTCCTATATTTATCAATATTAAATAAATAATGTTTAGCTAAAATCAGTTAGGAAAAGAAAACACTTCAAAGGAAAACTTAATAAAAATCATACATTTTCTATACGAGTATATATAAGTATATTTGTCTTGCAAAAACGCACTAACAGATTAAGATGGCAATACAAAAATTATGGTTGTTGTATGATAACGTAAAAAACTACATGCAAGAAGTTAAGTAAAACTTGGAGTGACAAGCGTTTGTGGAGCTTAAGAAAATAATGCATTTTTTTATTTAATTGATTTATTGAAATTAATTGTATTCGTGCAAGTTGCTCATTACGGAGTGTGTGTGTGAAGGTTCGGCTCGGTACGGTTCGGTACGGCTTAGTTCGGCTTGTGCCATTTGGACGAGTTGATTACAGCGGCTTTTTTGTGCATTTGTACATAGTATGTATGTGTTGGTGCGACCACTTACTTACCAATGCTATTCGATTTTTACAAATTCTGCTCTCAACGCTCTATTGTGTACATATATATCGATTGCTTATTTACAACAAGAACATACTCAAAGTGCTTTTTGAATATGTGTGATTTGTACATTATACAATATGGATATTAAAAACCAATTAAAAGTGTGGTTTCGTTACATTAATATCATAATTATTGTGAAATAGTTTGTGTAAGATATCTAATTAGTCAAATTTTATTAGTTAAATCTCATAAAATTGCTAAGTTGAGTTTAAGTGCTAGTTGAAAATTTAATTTTGCTACAATTTTCACTAATTTTTAACAAGTTTCTAAAAATTATTGAAAAACATAAGTTAAATATTAATTAAACTTATTTTATATATATACTTTGCCTCTTTTGATGTTAAAAATATTTGTATACTTCATCAAATAACGAATTTATATCCCTTTGCGTTGATGAAACCATTAAAACAAAAACTAGCAAAGAACCTTTTAATAGTAGATCTACGTTTCATTTAAAAAATTATGCCATTGAATTGGGTGAGCTCGTAATGTGAAAAATTGGAGCAAAACTCGGTATCAACCTTCATCAAAGATTTTCCAATGATTTGGCTTTTATTAAAATGTCTCAACCTGCCGATTAATGATGGAATGCCCCTTCGTTCATTTGGCTGACTTTGCGGTAGCCCATTCCGTTTACCCAATTTTACGACGGATTCTTCGATTGTGTCGCTTTCTATGGCAGCAATGGCGACTTCAATTTCGTATAGCGCTCAAACTTAACGATTCCCCATAGAAGCTAGTTTAACGGAGTCAAATCCCAGCAGCAAGGCAGCCAATTGACATGAAATTTCAACTTTTTTGCAGATACACTTTCAACATTTCCAAAATTTCTTCAAACGTAAACTTAGTGATTTCGTAAACTGCAAAACTTTTGCTAAATAAGCTTAAATAAATAAGCCGTAGTTCCAAAAGAAAATGGCAGGTAGCCCACACCTTATATAAACATACATCAAACATCATTGAACGACGGGGCGAATCGATTTATAGGCCTATTCTGTCGTTTCGTATTCTGAGTTCACTTTCACCCGGCAAGTTTGCAGCTGTTCGATTTTGTGTTGTTAATTTGTGAAAAAATACTAGGAAAACCAAAATGTATAAGCATATTTCACGTCTAGAATTTATTGAAGATGAAGAAAAAAGTGCAAAAAGGCGAATGTTAAGAAGTTTGCGAGATTAAAATGACGATTTTAATTTGTAATTTGTCATTCAGTATTGTCGTCTGAATAGAACATCTATGACAAGGGAGTAGATGAGAGGAGTAGATCACTTTATGTGGGAAAATAAAAGGCGGGTGAAGAAAAAATTTCAGATAGATCTGGCACCACCATTTTAGGCTGAAACCATATCTCAGATACAACAAGTATGAACACGAATCGCATATGGGGCAATTGGGCAACAGCTAGGTCTTTTCCATATTTTTGCTTTCCACCCCCAGTTTCTTTCAAAACAGGCTTCAACTGAACTTTCATAGGTATGCCACCTTTAATAAAGCTTTTAGTCGTACCTAGCTGAGACAGGGCCAGAAATAGAGCTGCGTATTTTTTTTACCGATCAGTGGACCTCATATACATGTGGGCAAAAAGTAGGATGAATTCTTAACTTGAGCTTCGCGCGCGGGTTAATTCTTTTTTTAATGTTGACAGCACATCTACACCAAATTTCATGGCAGTGCCAATATTGCTATTTTAGTTACGCTTGTGTTTACTACGCGACTAAAAGTGCCTTCTGCAATTTTTATAATGACTGATTTAATTGAGCAAAGAAGTGAGATCCAATGTTGTTTGCGGAATGAATTTTCAGCTGCTGATACGTTGAGTATGCTACAAAAAGCCTTTGGGGACTCAACTATGTCCTATCAAGGAATATCGTGGTAAAGGTGAGGCAAGACCGAAAAAATTACGTCAAAGGCGCACAAAAATCAAGGTTATGTTAACTGTTTTCTTCGATTTTCGTTGTGTGGTGGGCTATGAATTCCTTCCGCCCGGTCAAACGGTAAATAAGAAATATTATTTATTCGCAAAAAAAGACTAGAATTATGGGCCAACACGATAATGCACCGTTGCTTACAGCAGCCATTCTTTGTGACCATTTTGCTAAAAATTCCACGAATATCGTTCCCCAACCACCGTATTTTTAGCACCATGCGACTTCGGCTCTTAAAAACTCAGGGAGTCGAGGACACCCTTATGAGTCGATTGAGGAGATTAAACGTGAATCGGCGCGCTCTCTTAAGGCCATATCAGAACGTAACTATTAGACATGCTTCGATAATTGGAAAAAACGTTGGAATGAGCTTTTGCATTGCATCGGCAGGGAGTATTTTGAAGGTGACGAAATCGATTTAAAAGAATAAATAAAGATTTTTAATTTTACAAACAAATTCACCTAACTTTTTGCCCACAGTAAGTTACTGCCGCATATTTAATGTTCGGTTGCACCCGAGCTTAGTCTTCCCTACATGTTGCCTTTGGCTGTTATATGGGAACATAAATTTTCAAAATTATGAACTAACCCACGATATTTTTTGTTAAGTCAAAATATTCTTATCATTTTGCTTGTACATACCTACTCGTATGTATTATTGTAAGATTCTTTTTACTTATCATTCACATACATATGTATACATACATCCGAAGAAATATGATTTCCGCCAATAATTTTGTTTGAAACAAATTCTCACTAAACATTTATAGAAAAATATAGTAAATTCCTAGTTTCACAACATTTCCAAATATTTTGGTTTAAATTTATATAACAACAATACATTCTAAAGTTCAAGTTTTTTTTTGTGTATATACAAATACATCATATAATTATAAGTTGTAATTATTTCTAACGATGTAAACTTTGTACAATGTCATTGGTTATGACCAAAAGTAGTTAATTAATTAATAATCAAAATTATGATAAAAACTTTAAACTAGGCAATAGACAATAATACTAATAATAATTGAAAAAAAAAATAAATAAATAAATATACATATGCTGCTGAGCACATACATACATACGCATATGTACATACATACATACATACATACATATATATACATATATATATATATGTACGTACAAAAATTAAACGGATACATACAAGTATTTATGGATACATATATGAATAGTTAGAGATTGCACATTTATTCATTACATAATCATAAACACAGTACGAGTACACGTATACATATATATAAAAATTGGAATTTCTTTTACCACTGCAAGTGTGTCAAACTTATTCACCTTTTTGTTTCTGAAATTATTTAAAAATTGAAAGAAGCAAAGGTATGTATTTGAGCATTTCAGAAATTCATAGTATGTATATTAATACATAAGCATGATGGAAATAAGTATTTATTGTATGTAGGTGGTATGGTGTGAAATATCGGAATATGATTGATAATGATAGTGTATGAACTTAAAATAATTAGTGATAACGACACAATATTTTACTGTTAAAATTGTTTATAGCATAATATGAAAAAGTGGGTCAAAAAGAAACTCAAAGCTATCAGTAATTTTTTGGTGAAATCTATGCCTTTCATAGGGTAGTATATTTACTGATGTACACATTACTCTCTGAGACAAAATATTCTCTCTGGAATTCCGAATTGTGTACAATATTATAATCTTATTCTATGATTATAGAGTTAGACTTCGCTTATTTAAAAGATGATCACGTTGAACGTATGATACAGGGTTTTCTAATAAGTGGTGTTTTTCTTCAACACTTAGCGCTACCACAGTAATATTCTCAGTTGTTTTAGAGAGACGTGTACATATTTTATTCTTCGTATCACTAACTTATTCCAACAGCCCCATTTTCTCCACTAACTGGGAAACGTTTTAGTTTTACGAACCGTTTCGGCCAGATTTTTACTATTTCATAGTAAATTCAGTAATTTCAATGCTTCAAGAGTGTATAATTCAATTTTTATTACTCTTATTGGATAACCCTTTACGGTTTCCGAAAACTTGAGCAGAGACCGATTTACTATAATTATTGAATTTTTGAATAATTACTACATAGCAATAGCTATCAAGCCAATACCTTTGCATGAAAAATTAGATTTTTCAATTTGGGTGATTCTTTTGAATTCTCAACAGGTGAGTAAAAGTGATGTATGTAAATATTTAAAGAAAGAAAATTCCTGGACTTTTGTTACAAATTGTTTTTTTTTTTAAGTGTTATATTCTTACGGTGTTTTTGTGGCAAATAAATGCGAAACACACCCGTTAGTCTTTATTAATGGATACTCGATAAATTCATTAAAAATAGCCAAAGCGCGAGCTATTGAATCGAAAGAAATTTATTTCATAATATTTGATTGCTTTCTGTTTGCTTTCCCTTTCTTTTAGAATTTTTCGTTTTACTACTTGGGTATTATTTTAATCAAAATTGTATTGGCGCTTACTCACCACATATAACCGTACAATATATTTAAACCTATCACTTTAGCTCGGTTTACAAATCAAATAACCAATGTATTTACTCAGTACCACTTTAACTTCATTAAATAGTTTAACATTTATACATACATCGATGTGCCCAATATTTACTTCTAACGGTATCTTCAAAAATTATTTGCAGTAATGATTTAATGAAAAATGAAATGTAAATTCAATTAATGAATTTATGGATTTAACATATGTATGTATGAATGTGTTTGTAATATATTATAGTAATTAAAATTCGAAACTTAACTGAACAATTGTAGAACATTTGCACATAAATACATACTGTTTGGAATTAAATTTACCTAACTGAACGCTTTTTGATCGTACTCCGACGCGCCAATGATGCCAAACTATTGTGTTCGGCATCACCATTTAGGTGATGGTGATTTATGTTTGCTAATAAATGCGTTTGTGAGTTGGCACCGCCATCGCCGTTCGCCTCATAAGAAATTGAACCCTGCCGCGATCCGCCTTTATCGAGAGCCGCCATATCGAGCAGGCAATTGAAGAATGACTGTTTCTATGGTTTGTTTCGTGTGTTTAATTTTCATTTTTGATTTAGAGTTTACGAATCGTTGCCATATAGTGCAATGCAATGTGATCGTTTTGTTCGTTCACAAACATGACATTTTGAATTTGTTTAATGTTTCAAATTGCATTTGGAATTTTCATGTTGTATTGTTGTATTATGAAAAATGATTTTCATTTTTTTGTTTTTTTTTTGTTTTTTTTTTGTTTTTTTTTTTTGTAAATTTTGTACAGTGCAATTACGGTAAAGCATTCCATGCGATTGGACATCATTTGAGTTGAGTTGTTGGTTGTTTGGTTTACAAGTATTTTCACATTTTGTACATATTTTACAGTAATTTGAGTGATGCGTATTTATAAAAAGATAATATTGCATGGTGACACGTGTGAGAGTGAATAAACGTTTTATTGGTGAAATAGCAATTGGAAAAGTAATAAAATTTTTAATTCATTTTTTTTTTTGGTTTCATAAAAATATGTTAGTAAGATGAAATGTGGCAAGGCATTCAAAAATTTGCATAAATGGACGAGTATATATATATATATGCATTTAAATGTGTATTAAGCTGAGAGGTATAAATTTTAATAATTTCGGTTGGTATGTGATAAAAATATGGAAGTTTATAAAATTCGAGTTAATAGAATAAAATAGAACTAAAGCGAACTATTATATTACTTTATATATCACGCCCTATAGAAAACCAGCACTCTTAATTATACAGGCATACAATGCTATACTATATAAATAATATATTTATATTTTTCAGTCAATCATACAATTTTCTTTAATTTTCTTTTTATTTATACTAAATGTGTGAGGAAGGAAGAACATGCTAAGATCGATCTATTTCCAAGTGTATTCATACAATGCGTGTTTCTTACTGATCAGAAGTTTCAAAATTCTTTAGGTCAGTGCATGCAAACGAAAGAATTCATTTAAGTTAAATACATAAAACATGCTACTAAACTAAATAAAATCATATAAAAAAATGAAAAAATTTTCGAAATGAATTTTGAGTATTGAAATTATTCCAATATAAAGTAATTCTAAATATAGGACATAATTGTTTTAATATCTTCACACCTAAATACACTCTGTAATACCCAATTGCTTCCAAATGGTTTCAGTTTTGAATTCAGGTACCTACTTCTAAAATTTTTTTTTTTTTTTTTCATTTTACTATTTCACTCTTTTTGTATGTGTTTATAAGTATGTGTATACGATTTCTAATATTGCAGTTGTTTTATTAATAATTGATATTTTAAACTTGTATTATCTACATATACACGATAATATTTATTAATTATCTACAGAAAAATTAATTAATATTTGAAAATAACTATAAGATATACACAAAAGAGACCATAGCTTTAACTAAATTTTATTTTAACCAATATTTACAAATTATTTCATTAAAAAAGAGTATAAATATAATATATGTAGATATATCCGTTTTATATGGAAAATGTGCTAATATGGTGCGTAAAAATTATCATACAAAAATCAAATTATAAATAAGCCCTTAACATTTTCTCGCTTATGTCCTGCCTCTGAAGGAATTGTTATTTGTTATTTCCAACGTTTTCCCACCTCTTCCCCATCCACAAGAAGGACGCAATACGCATGACGTAGGGAATTTTTTTCATTTTTTTTTTTTGTATTATCACCGAGTCTCGATGAGCAGAGCAAAAATTCATCAGCTGCTTTTAAAGAGGTGGCTTATTTCAGGTTTATAAAGGGTGATTTTTTAGCTATTATCTTTTTGGCAACTCTGGTTTAAACAGCTGACGCACGTTTCGTGTTTTGTATCACTGTCAGACATGGTCAGTTTGGTCTATAATTTAACCATAAATCGTCTTACAAACGAACAAAGCTTGCAAATTATTGAATTTTATTATCAAAATCAGTGCTCTGTTAAGAAAATTCATCGCGCGCTTCGAAGCTCATTTTTGGCTTAATGAGTGCGTAAATAAGAAGAATTATTGATTTTGGAGTGAAGATCAGCCAGAAGCATTGCATGAGCTACCAATGCATCCCGTGAAAGTCACACTTTATTGCGGTTTATGGGCTGGTGGCATCCTTGGACCGTACTTCTTCAAAAATGATGCGATTCATAATGCAACTGTGAATGGTGAGCGCTACAGTGAGAAACTATTTTTTGCCCAAAATGCAAGAATTGTCGTACAAGTGGTTTCCTCAAGACCGTGCTACATGCCACACAGCATGCGTAACAATGGACTTATTGAGAGGCGAGTTCGGTGAAAATTTTATTTCACGTTTGGGACCGGTCAATTGGCCTCCTAAATCGTGCGATGTAACGACTTTAGACTATTTCTTTGAGGATAAGTTAAATCTAATGTCTATACAGACAAGCCCGCATCAATTGACGCATTGGAGGACGAAATGTTGGAAAGAGGTTGCCAGTCACGGCGCAGTCACGGTCAACATTTGCATGAATTAATCTTCAAATATTATATTATATGGATCGCACTATCGATGCAAAAAAACATTTCATGGAGTTTTCTGATTTTTAAATGTTTTTTTGAAAAACTTTCCTATAGCTCTTAAAATATCACCTTTTTTAATTAGGTTAAAGTCGACAAAATTATGTTTTTACTATGAAAGAGAGAGTCAGATGCCAATATGCTAGAACGAGAGTTTAAATCAAGACACAAAAATGTCTGGTACATTGAATTCGACTTCAGAAAGAATTAGAGGATTAGAAATTGAGCGTGTTGTTATTTTAGCAATGGAAACTACACCAAAATACAACAACTAGCAATAGTTCGGAGGTTAATAAATTTCAGGCGACCAGTATAAGAAGGAATACTGTATTGGAGGTCATTTGAAATTTCTTAAAACAAAATGGAGAAATTGTATTTGAATAGTCCTTCACACTAGTGTAAATTGCTATTTATACTTAAATTTTTTTTAAATTAATGACTTTTTTTGCTGGTCTATAAAGTTTTAGCATCCGCATGGGGCAATGTTCTCAAGTAAATTGGTAGTTGTAGATTTTCTTTTAACAAAGTCATGATACAATAGAGTGTGATATATTAAAAGAGGATGGACTCAGCCAAATTGTAACACGTAAGTCGAATTTCTTTGGAATCGTAGAGATGCTTTTGGAAGGGGTATATTAAAGGAGCTTTTCCATACAGAAGGAAAAATTCATTTTATGGCTGATCGATTTGAATAAATGAATCAATAGTTTGTATATAAACTCAGCACAATTTATAAGAAATTAAAAAGATATTTCATCAGGACCATATTTATATGCCTTTTAAAGACTTTAGACGAAGAAAAACATTATAGGATCATATTAAGGAGGCGTGGTCTAAATTACCTGGAAATAATTAGTAAGGGTAATTAGAATTCTTCATCTTCTGAATTAAATTCTAATTTATAATTGGCACTTTGTAACCTCTGAAGCGATTTTCCTCCAACTTGTGGTTTTGCTTCTTGATGTTTTTGAAACAAATGGATATACCTACAGTTTATAGGTGCTGCTGATGGTTTTTTTTATGAGGAGCCTTCATTTCATGTTGACATTTTTAGAAAATTTAACTTTTTTGTTTATTTAAGTTAATTTTCTATAACTTTTGGATGTTGGTCGTACCAGGACTTGAACCCGGACCTTGAAAGTGCTCCCATCAGTGTAAAGTTGTTCGTTTTATAATTAACTCTGCAGTCATGGGCATCATTTGATAAACAGCTTTCTGCTAGATCTACATAATTTTTATACTGACTTTAAAGAATATGCCGTAGCTGGGTATCGGATGCTTTATTAAAAAAAAATATTATAAATATATTTAATTTTTTTCTATTTCTCAGGTATTAAAAAACAATCACTGATTGTATTCTTTTATTCATTTGTTGGTACTGAATATTAAATCAAATGTTCGCCTTATACCTCATATTTTCAACTGAAATTTACTGTCATTTATCAATAAAATTTTTTGGAACTTATATAATGTACAATTAACTATGTATGCATGTATATAAAAGATGCTTTAAACATTTTTTAAATCTTCTGAAGCATTTTTCGAAAATGTTTTGGTTTTGATTTTAGACCTTGCTTTTGAGGATTGTAGCATAAAAACACTTTATAATTCCCATATTTATGGTATTTGCATCAGGAGATAGGAAAATCGAATTTTTCAATTTAGACTCTAAAAGCTCAATCTCCTTTTTATGGACAAACTCAATCGATTAAATCACTTTGTGTCAAAAAGTGTGGTGATGAGGAAGTAGGGGATTCATTACTTGGCATACTGCATCTGCTGTCTTAGGACAATAACCCGGCTTTTCAGATTGATTTGAATATTTTGGCATAGGCAGGTCAGTACTATGTAGGATATGTTGGTGGTGGTTTTGGTCCAAGACAAGTTGTGATAGTGGACAGTATGATCGGTGAAATCCACAGTCGTTTTTTATAGATTTTTAATTTTTATTTAAGCTTCTATTAATCAGCATTTATGTTAACTGGTTAATCACACAATCATTTTATTTCATTTGGGCCACAAAATAAAATCAATATAAATGTGTACGAAAAGAATGTGCATGTAAATGTAAGAGATTCATTCGGTAAATTTGCAATGGAGCTATAAAATATTCAATAGATTTGGTAAATGCATAAGTCGAATTTTTTAATATGTTTCTAGTGTTGTTTAAATGTAGGTTTGACATTGTGAAAGTGAGTTAACTTGTGCACATAATTAAATATTCCAGTTCTTTTCTCCTTTGGGCCAATTCAGATAAATTTACATCAATTTTAAATATTTTACATTTTTCGTTGGAACACTACTACAGCAAAAAACGGAATCAATAAATTATATATGTATGAAGTCTGATTGTTTAAACTGAATTCGCTTATACACTGAATTATAGTAAATATTGTACGAGTATTCTTGCATATATGCATTTTATCTGGAAGATCGAGCACATTCATAATATGGGAAATTTTCATAGAAATCTAATCAGAGATTAATGGGGTTTGGCATTCTGTATTAAAAAAGTAGAAAATGATATTCTTTAAGAAGCATTTCAAGTAGCAGATCAGAATGTATTCCTAAATATGTATGTGTATGTAAATGTTCATATAGATAATTTCATATCATATGTAGAATATTTCAGAAATTTAAAGGGGGAAAAGGGGAGGTGGTAAATATGTATATGTATATTTATTATTCACAAGCGGCTTATTGAGTTTCGTTTGAGATAACTGGCAAGTAGAGGTAAATCTGTACATAAGTATGTATATGCATATTAGAAGTTAGCAAAACATTTATTCTTATGCTTATCTTTAAACATATTCAAAAATGTGGCTATGTATGTTTGTAATAGTCAATATAGAAATGTGTTATTAATTAATATAAAAGTGGAAGTAAGAAGCCATATAAGGAAAACATACATATATACACATTGGTCTAGCAAAATTCATAGCTCTAGGTAATAGACTATTGTGAATAGTAATGGCATTTGAATGGACCATTTGCCAAAGCATATACCGGCTGATCGTCGGCTGTTGGACTGGGCATTCGTTCATCATCTTCTGCGTGGCGCTTTTTCCGCTGACCATTACAAATATTTTGCCAGCATTTGTATTTTGATTTCAGTATAGAATATTTGCGGTAACAGAATAATTTAGATTCAGATGCATTTTCATTTGCCATGAAGGAATACACAAAAAATATAATTTAATTAATGCAATACTCGACTTATGTAATTTATTAATATGTATTACATTGTACTTTGGTAAAAATTTAAAAGTTACAAATAAAAAAAATTCATAAATAGGTACGAATACATACATACATATCTCATGTATTACTTTCGATTTGGTTATCGTCTAAACTATTAAAAAAAAATTAAATTAAATTGGAAACAAAATATTGAATTAAATGTTTGGACGATGCTTTTACCGTGTTGTTGATATATTGTATATGTAAAAGTATTCATTTGCTAGTTTTCTTCTTCTTAACGAATTTTTTTTAAATAAGGCGGGACAAGATCACAAATTTAAAATGAAAAATGGTAAAAAATAAAAGGAGATTAAAGGTGGATGGCACTATGTGGTTGTTACAATAATAAAACCAAGTCATCATTTGCCATTTGGAAGAAGGTGTAGCCAACTTGCTACAATTTAACAGACAACTAAGTTCATTAGAAGATCCCTTTACGGGAAAATATTCAATTGAAACTATGTGTTTTGCACAAAAAATTGTGAATCAAAAGAACAGAAGTCGCCTACTTGAATCATCCCCCCTATTAAAGTAGGTGATAAAACTGAAACGAATTGTATGTTTACAAATCTGGCGTTAAAAGAAGTTTCCAAATACTGTGGTAAAGCTATAATCAATATAAGTACATATATAAAAGCGGCATTGTATTGTTTATTGTGCGCACATAACTCGAGAGCGGCTGGAGCGATTTGTCTAATTTTGATCTTTGTTATTATATGTGGAGATTCAGAGAAAGCTCAAATGATTAGGAAATGTGCCAGTGATCAATATTTAAGAAAATATTATGTTTATAGTTCCATTTGTTTGAAATTTCGTGCTGAGGTGGATTACCTTTCTCTTCGGTAAATGTACCAGGGAACGACATACTCGAATTTATATTTCTTTTTACTTCAACTTCTTTTTTCCATGAAATGGACCGATCTATTTGAAAAAGGTATATGTATATATATATTTATAGTTCGGTTTGGTTACACTTTTAGATGATGTGCCTCAATGAAATGATTTCATTTCCCGAAAATGAAAAAAGGCCCAGGGATTTTACAACGTGTAATCGGGGCTGCTAGTAATTCATATAAAGTTATTGAATTTACTGAACAAGTTCAAATTTTGTTGATAAAAATATAAAACAGCTTAAGTAATTTCATGAGGAAGGTACCAACGTTTAGGTAAGTAAGTTCGTGGTGATGAATTTTAAACATTTTTCAAAAAAAAAAACTAATAGTTTAGACGATATTCAACTGAAAAATATAAATGAAGACAATGAAGCCTCAAAACCCATTATCAACTGTTCTTATATTTATAAATGACTTTTTGAAGCATGTAAAAGTAGTTTATGAAAATGTATCGTGACTACAAATAATTTTTTAAATAACAGTTCTTACTGCGTGCAATACCAGGTATATTTACTTATAATACATACTAATACATAATATGCTATGGTCAATAAAATACATTATACATTCATTAATATGAGTTAAAAGGTAACTTAAACAATTGGATCGCCAACAACGGTGGAAGACAAAAATATCAAAACCTAGTAATTACTACAAGAACACATTAAAACTCCCTTTTGATTTAAGATAAGAAATTAATAAAGTTGTCAGAGAATCAATTACGCTGTGCAACATGAAATTTCAAATTGTTTTTTTTTTTTTCAAAAGGTATTATTTTTTTTTGAGTTACATCTTTGAAATTCAAAAAAAATATAAAACAAATAAGGAAGGCTATGAAGAGCTGAAACCGAAAATTATACATGCTATTGACATTGACGATCGTCAGTGTGGATTGAGGCTATTTTTATTATGAACGATCATAGATTGAAGAAGACAGAAAAAACTTGATGAATCGGACTTCTCCTGGCCACTAGCCAATTAAAATCTAGCCACCTGGCGATAATAGAGAACATAAACAAACAAAAAATCTGTCCTTGGTAATCTACTAAGAAATTTTAGAAATTTCAATATTTTTAGTTATTTTTAGGGTAAATGTAAGTAAATATTTTGATATGAATTGGCCTTCACCTCACTATCTTGTAGCTATAAATAATAAATTATGCGAATTAATCATTAGGCATTTTTTTATTTGAAATAAAAAATATCAATCAATGTCAATTAAAGAAATATTTATTTCGTTTTACACGAAAGGAAAAACTGTCATTAATGTTAAATCGTTAACAGATAATGTTAAATGTTAAAATTGAAGTGTGCTGTTAATAAAATAGCAAGAAGCCGCTGAGTTTGTGAGGTTTAACATTAACCACTTCTTTTCGTCCGATGATGCCGAATCCAAACAAAAACATTTCGTTAAGTTTATTTTTCATATTAACAAAACGAAACAAAACGTTTCGTTAGATAAGCATCAGTGGCAAAATATTGTTTCATTTAGTATTGCTGCTTTCCCAATTAGCCAGAATCTCGTTGCTCTAAATTACGTAATGGATATCATGGTGTGGCATGGATATTTGCTTCCACCTGAGCTTAGCCTTTCCTTATTTGCTTTACTTGTTTTGGTAATTTGCAGATCGAATCTCTTTAAAAAACGTTAATAAACGATCGATTTTCATTATTTTTAAGTTCAACATTCTTCAACTTGATTTCATTTATATTCAAAAGGAGCAGGAATTATGAACTTTTAACATAAAATGCATATTTTCTGATGTAATTATACATATATGCAAATATATACCTCCTTCCAATTCTGCAATTGGTTTTACACGTATAAACAAGTGAAAAGAAATGATTTATATTAAGACTTATCGTAGATATATGTTAAATTTATGTACATATGTATATAGTTATTATTTTCATATTAATTTTGTTTTACCCAAAACTGATAATATTTATTTGAATACTTTTAGTTATATTTTCTACGCAGGAATATTTTGAGTGCCTAATTGACAAAAGTCAATTTCAAGTAAAAATAAAGGAAATAAAAACAAAGAAAGAAATTAAGAAAGTAAAAACATATACACGCTGAAATTGCGCTTTTTGAATATCACTTAAAGTTTTTCTTGAAATTTTGGTTTTTAGTCTAATTGACATTTTCATCATTTAGAAACCAAATTAAAGTTCCATAGCACCAAACTTTTAATTATAATCTCTTGATTGGATTTTATTAACCCTTAAGATTCTTTGCGAGTTCAATATTTGCATTTTTTAATTAAGAGACAGACAAACATACATACGTAACATAGGACAAAAATTCGAATACATTAATTTATAATAAAAAAATAAGCAGGCAGTAAATTCAAGTAGCAAAAGAAATATTAGGGGGGATAAAGTTGCTTAAGTTTTCTACGATTTCTAACAATGTTTTCATTTTATTTCCGATTATTCACGACAGTGACTTTTAATTAAAATCGTTATTTTCTAAGTCCCCTAGTCTTTTTACAAAAACCACAGATTTTCTTCCAACCAATAATTTTAAGTCCCGTTATGCGGAAATTTATGCTTAAAGGAGTTCGCCACACTCGGCATAGGGAGAATCATCCACTAATGTTCATGCTATACATAGAGTATAATATAATTGGCGCTACGTAACGGCTGAAGCTGTTTTCGCCCGAGATTTTCTTTAAATTTGGCGTCTTCATGTTTATCCCAGAAATGGAGGTCTGAACGTCTGTTGGATTTTTATTAGCAGAGTTTTTTCATGTCAGAAATACACTCGGATACGAGTGGTTGACAATACCTACAGAGGAATGTGGTATCTTGAACAGGCTAATTATTGCCTATTTTCGTTTTAAAAATTCAAAACATTTTCGGATTTTCATCTTAAAATTTCATAAATATTAATAGTTCATTCTCTTGAATGAAAAACTCTCAGAACTGTGGAAGAAGAATACAAATTGCGAAAAAGGATTTTATTTCGCGTTTATTCAATTTAATATAATTTCTTAATTGTTTTGCTTTTATTCTGTAACGCAGCTTGAGAACAAACCACGTGTGGCTACCAAGTCATTGTTAACCTACGTGTTTTAACGCAGCTGTAAAGCTACATACGTATTTATGCAATATAGTACATAGTATTATATTTAAATTCGAAAAGCGCACTTCCAACTAAAATGTAAATTATTTACACATATGTACGCCCCTATGTTCATACATATATTCGCACATATACTAATTAAAAAAATATATATATACATATTTCTAGTTTATGAACAAAATTATAATTAATATAATAACGTTAATAATAATAATTCCTAAATTTTTAGATCATTTCAATTCATAACTTTTGCGTGATTCTATGTATATGTAGGTGATGTATTTTACAATTGAATTCGTTACGCTCTTTTAATTGTGTATGTAAGTGGCTTACAGCTAAAGAGACCTGGAAATTTTCCTATCAACACGTTAAAAGATAACACTTTCATACGTGAAAGAAATACATAATTGCACTCGAGTAAATACATAGTATTTACTTATAAATACAAAAGTAATAGTCAACGAATTTCGGCATTTGTGTAGTTTTTGAGTATTTTTGGTTTGCAGGTAAATTAATATGAATTAATTTGAAATCGCAGAACTTACCGGCATGCCAGAATCGATTTGTCCAAACCGCGTCGTACGCCACGACTCCAGTATCAGAAGACCGGCATACACTTTACCAACTGACAGCTTCCCCTTATTCAGTTGGTCTATAGGTGGTACAAGCAAATCCAACATTTTCTTCGCTTGCAAAGGCCATATATTCGTTATGGTTTCCCTAAGTTCCATATCTGCTTGATCCATTTCCTCCGCTATAAAACAAGAGTAAAAAGGGAGTAAAGTTATTTCGCTTTTATGGAAGATTCCAATTTCTGGTTGGAAATTTTTGCATAATTTCTTGTGATATACAGAATAACAAAGGTGAAATGAAAAGAAAGAAATCGTTTAGGCTTTTGTCGAAAATATTTTTTTTTTTTTGTGTGATAAATAATTTCAATACGAAAGAAATACAACCTAATATATATAATAATAGTAGATTTACAAATGTACATATATATACCTGCATATAGCAGACTTACCGGATCGCATTTTAATGCTTAAATTTTCACGTATTAACGCAAAAAGCGTCGTAGTAAACTGTACTCTCATTTCATCATCCAACGGCATATTCATACGAATCAGTTTCTTATAGGCGAGGCGATTGGGACATTTGTTACCGAACCCCAACGGAGGATCCATATTTTTTAACATATCATACATTTCCGTATAATGTATTCTACCACTATAATATTTTTGATTTTGTGCGATTTTTCAATTTGTTGATTTTTGTAAGTTTTGTGAGAAGCATATATGTAAGTAAGTAGAAAAAAATATTAATTTTTTTTGAACATATTCAATATGGTTGGAATTTTTCAAAACAACACACACAAATAATACGAGCACAACAGATTTACAACAAAGCAACTATAAGGTTAGAAATACTTAACTGATTAAGAAAAGCGATTTGTTAAACTTATTAATTTATATACACATTTCGTTAATTTATGATGTTAAAATAAATAAATTATAAATTGTTGTAAAATAATATTGGCAGCGATTTTCATATAGTTAAATAATAATAAGATTGATGGCAAATCAATCGAACAAAAAATTCATGTAATCGAAGTAATAAGTAAAATGAAAGTACACTCTGTACCATAGAACTTTGAATTAAAACTGGATTTTGAGCTCAACGCACTTTTGATGTTTTCTAGGTCATATTTGTGTGTGAAGAGTTCGCAATTTATAGCGTTTGTTGTAATATGGGCACACCAAAGAATAAAAATTCTGTTTCAAAAACCAAAATACCTACTGCTAGGACTAGGAATAAGGATTTAATTTAGAGAAGTCGACGATTTTTATTCATATCAAAATCACGTTGGGAGTAAAAAACAAACTTTCTATAATTATGGATCATGATTTGGACCGGTTTTGAACCTACACATGGTAAAGCACACTGCTAACCACTTAGCTACTTCGGCCGCGTGAAAATAAATATTTTGTATTAGTTGAAGATTGGTTGGAACTTTGATTTATTTACTACGTTTAAGCTTCATTTCTACTCGGTTTAAGCCTACAAGCATAAACGCCAAATGCTCTACTCGAGGCTAATTGAGAATACAGTCAATATCAGGGCAGCCAAGCCCAGGTATTCAATTGTATTCTTGGCAAAAAGTTAGCAACATTGAAACACTGTTTCAATCAGGTTAAATGGGAATCAGCTGATTTCAACTAAGCCTGCGCTTACGCTACCGAGTAAACAGTTCTAAATATGTAGAGAAAATGTGTATAATCTACCTGAGAAGACACCTTAACTCGTGGTGAAAAAGTATTTATGCTTGCGAGTTTAACCTACCCGAGTAGAAATAAAGCATAAACGTAGTAATTCTGTACCAAAATCTTGCTTTACCATATCACATGGGCTAAAACGTGCCGGGCACAACAAAGAAAAGGCCCCACAATCATACCTGTAGCATTCTAACAGTTCAATCCCACTTTTTTCATCCTTCGTGCCAACTTCCTTGTCGGTGAGCATAGTTTTGGCAGCCGAATATGGCGCATACGGTGCTGGTTGGATGTGTTAGAAGTCGGATTCATTCTTGTTTGCACTTGTTTCGATAGACTTGTGGCATTTTTTTTTACCAATTTTTTTCTACCAAAATGACGAGCCCACAACGTTTCCACTCTATCGTTAGGCTTTCTGACGCTTTGGACTCGATTCAGCATTAGAAATCCATTCAGATGACGATCATTTTGAAACCAGAATGTAGTATGTGGATCCATATTTCATCCACTGTCACTTATTGGAATCATTAACAAGGTCTTGTTTTTGGTCAACAGTCATCAAACGCTGTACCCACTCTGAAAATCGGTTTTTCATAGTCAAATGTCAGTAACTCAGCCAAATTTACTTTTCAATCACCCGACACCATTTTGTGGAGTTTTTTTTTTTGATATTTTTTGATGTTACCTCATTTGGTCGTTCTCTGCTTTCCACGTCATTGGTGTCTCTACAACTATGATTACTTTCAGCAAACAATGTATCATTGCTGTTTCTGATTGCGTGGAGTCTTGAGACAGTTATTTTAGAAATACAATTGCTTGTTTTCTAGTTTACAGCGATCTTTACAATGCTGCCATGGGGCACATAAGCCTTGAGCAGTGTGTGAGATTGTCGGTGACAATCCTTGAACCTCAATTCAACGTTGTGGAGAAGGAATGCAAATTTCAAGAAGCTTTCTACAGCATATACTCAATAAATATATGTGTCTTCAGTTTTTCAAAATTCAATTATTTTTTGAAGGTATTATTTCGCATCAATAAATGGATTCTTATTTATCGAGCAACATAATCCCAAGCAATAAAGCAGATTTTCACTTTAGTGGGTTTGTTACATGCCAAAATGGGGTTCCTAGAACCGCCCGGGTGATTTAAAAAAAAAACAAATGCATCCACAACGTGTCACATTTATACTAAGCTGCCGCCGAACGGATGAGACTTTATTTGATATCATAAAAACACTCGGAGGGGTTATCATTTCCTGCCGAAGGCAGACCGCAATTAGGAAATTCAAATTAGTATTTTATTTAGGACCCGAACACGGGCTTTCGGAATGGAGGTACGTAATGCCACTCGGCTATCGCGATGATATTGATGTGGTGCATGAGAGATTTCCAGGTCGTTTACTCTCTCATTTTGGGGATCTGAATCGACCCTCTAAATCGTGGGATGTAACACCATTAGATTAAAAAGGTTTATTTAGAACCACAGGTCTATTGAAACAAGCTCACAACCACGCGTGCTTTAAAGAAGGAGATTCTAGTTTGCATCAATGAAATTTAGCCAAATCTTGACAAACGAGTGCGTATGTGAAGGGAAAGCGGTGGAGGCCATGTGCCCGATGTGTTATTCCTGTGTAATTTACGTTTCAATAAAAAAATTTCACTTAATTCTAATTTCATGCTTATTTTGGGACACTCTTTTTAAGTCACTTGCAGAGAAATTTGAACAGTCGCTTTAGATGGTATGTGTTAATAACAAAAATCGCGAACAACAAAATAAAAAAAATTAACTTTGAAACCAAACGATCGCTCCAGTGATTTATTAAACTTTTTTTTCCCAATATGAAGCAAATACGAACAAATAACAATCATTTAATATCGATCTTCAGTATGAGCTCTGAAATATCAACAAATAGAAATGATTTGGAGAGATAAAAATGAACTGATGATTTTTATGGAACGTGGAGCCGTACACGAAGTTAGAGTGAAATGTGTGGAAACGATGGTAGTTATTGACAATTTTGTGCGATGCAATCAAAAACAAAAAATGAGCTGATGAAATGTAAAGAGAGCCTCATTCGAAATCATATTTTTTTCGCATTTTTAAGAAGAAGAAGAGAAAAGCTCTATTGCATTGAACAAACTTTTTTGTTTCGAAATTTCCCTAAAATCAAATATCTCTTTACATTTCACCAATTATATACATGCATACATATGTATACATAGTATGTTGGCAAAATAAAAATAATGTATGTACATATGTAAATAGGAGTGAACGCAATTCTAATATTTTACTTTATGATTATGAAATATGTATGTAATTTATATAAAAGGGAAACGAATTAGAAACACATATATGTACGTATGTATATTAAATTGATAATTACGTCGCATTTGGATCATATTCAGCCCATATACGAACGAACTCGTCCAAATGGTGGGCACCCAATATACTGGAGTCTCTTGTAAGATAATCGAAATTATCCATAATAACAGCAACGAATAAATTTAACATGAGAAATGAGCAAAAGAATATAAACGATACAAAATATGCATAAGCTAGCGTTGAGCCGCATGTTTCGTTGCCCTTGTCGGCCTCTTCATCGCATGGCCTCCCTTTAAGGCACGCCAGCATAATGTTCGGCCACGCCTCGCCAGTTGCACATCTATAAAGATTTTTCGATATATTTTTAATAATTATTATTCATTATATGTATTTACATACTTATTAAAGAACGAAAGCTCTAAACTATATATTCTTGACGCGCTATATATATTTATGTACATACATATATACTTTCTCTATATAGCTAATATTACGTTAAATAAATATGTAACTTTATGCATAAAACCAACAATATTTAACTTTATAAACTCTATAACAAATTAATTTATGGTTATTTTGTTTCATAGGTTATGTGTAAATATGTGGGTAATAGGTATATATAACTAATAATTATACATATACTATGTATGTATATAAAATTTAATAACATCGTATCAACTCGTTTATTTTGTGATATTTTGGTCTAATCAAATTTATTTTGCTACCAAATAACCGTTATATACTTTCATACTTATTAATCGTAATGAATAAAAAACACAATTTAATTGTCATTTATAATTTATTTGAAATATATATACATACATTACTTTAATAAATGTGCTGAAATTTGTAATGACAGTGAATTAGTAAACATAATTGAGTTCAAAAAGTACCGCATATTTGTAAATATAAAAAATTAAAGCAAATTTATTTAAATAAGTATATAAGTAATTAAGTAAAGTTTAGGAAGCCCCGGTTGTTTCGGTTATATGGAAAGTCCTCCGTTCTATATTTCATAAAAGTTATCGAGCAATGTCGTTTAAATTATCTTTATTTAGGTACCAAACAACCCCTAATGTTCGAAAATAATGTCAAATTTTTCTAAAATTTTAGTGATCTCTAATATACAGTTTATATTTAAGCGCTCCCGAATTGCTGATGGTTTTTTATTAGGAGTTTTGAATTTTCATGTCTGAGATACACTCGGAGGGCATTCCCTGCCGAGGGGCAACCACAATTAGAAAATTTAGCTAAATTTTTATTTAAATTAATTTTCCATAACTTTTTGTATGTTAATACGACACCAGGACTTAAACCCGAGCCTTCCGAATGGTAGTACGCAAGGCTAACCATTCGGCTACAGCGGCTTACTGTTTCACCCGTGAAACTCCTCCATCATCACCGGCATTTCCTTAAAAACCTATTTATCTATCTTCGTTTTCCATACAAAAAATTGAAGTGTTTTTTAAAGAGTCATAAATATTTCCCAGATAATGAGGTGAATTGGAAAAGTCGACTTTTATTCGAATAATGTCTGTAAACTTTCTAATAGTTATTTATTTTTTTTTCGGTTTTTACTAACTGTATATTTTTACTTCTCGTACTTTTCAATCTCATATGTTAAAAATTAAGAATTAAAAAAAAAAACATTTATATACATATATATTCAGGTCTCACCAAAAAAAAAAACAATTATTTGTTTTTTCTCTTAAAATCCGCAACAAATTTTATTTTAAAAAGTTATGTAAGTATTTTAAAGCATCTCTATTGAAAATAAATATCAGAGATAATCAGAAGAAATCAGGGCTTAAACACATTTTTATTACGAATTACAAAAAATTGTAATTCCCGGTTTTCAATGAGTCTTCGAATTTTATTTTATATTTTTACAGTTATTTTCAATCTCAAATGAACATAGGAAAAACACTTCATTCATTAATTTGTAATATTTGCATTGCAGAAAAATTATTATTATTTTTTTTTTTAATTTTAAAATTTTAAATAACATATATATAATATATTTTTATGAATTGATGTTATTCTGGTACATTTTATTGATTGTACAATGAAGAAATACTTTTTGTTAATTGTTTCAAAAATAATTAAATAATTAAGTATTTCAAAGAATCTTTGTTCTTCTACAAGCATCGCTTAGTCACATCTTATTCCAGTAAATAATTCATTGAGGACTAAAACTGATCATTTGCTCGTTTTATAAACAATGAAATTCTCGTGGTATCGTCGTCCATTAACTAAACATGACCAATGAAAATGACTTTTCTGGAGGCAAAAAGAAATTTGCGAATTACTTTCTTTAAAGGTTCCTTGAAATTCGACGTAATACTTTTTTATATTTAAAAATTTTTGACCGACTGGTCATTGGTCATTGCAACTGTGCCACTGATCTACTACTTCGACTCCGTAGCTAGATTTTAAAACGGCGATTCCTTTTAACTGAAACAACTGGGGCGTAAGTATACGGTTAGATTCAACTTTTTTATAATTATTCGAATTTCAGTATCATAAAATTAAATGAATATTTACGCTAAATTTCATCTAGAAGAAACAAACTATTTAAATATTATTTCTACAACTATATAAACACATTACTTAATAGCACAAATGTATTTACGAGTATACTATAATGTACATACTTATGTAAATATATACATATGTATGTTACGGTAACCATCTTTCGCATTTTGTACAAGAACATTCAGTTTACGGTCATTTTTTTTTATATATAATATAACTATTGCTTTGTACCGACTAAAAAGAAAGCTTTTATTTTATTTCAGAAACATGCTCAAAGGACCTGAGTTTAATTTTTTATAATTTTTGTACGTTTGGTGAAACCAACACTTGAACCCTTTCCATTCGAATGCTAATACGCAATGCTAATCATTCGACTTTTACGACTGCTGTTCTTCATATGATAGTTAAAATTCTAGAGCCTTTTTTACTAGCACTGCGCTGTTACTTGCTTATTGCAAAATTTAGATTCGTTATTTCTATGCATTTGGAAAAGTTTTCATTGGAATTTTTCCTGCTGATTTGGTGCCAACGGTTTGAAGGACTCGAGCCTGTGACTTTTATTAGTTCACACCACTTAGACACAGCGGGCGGAAATTTCCCACGATATTACTTACATATTTTCCTTTCTAACACGAGCATTTTCAGTATATAGCTATGTATGTATATTTTGAAACGTAAAAATCGTTCTATAATTTCGGTTACCGTAACGTACTCGTGTATACAAATGTATTGTATGTGTACATGTTTTTGTATAGGTGTGTTGGTAAATTGTTATCTATTACTTGAAGGAAACAACAAAGTTTAATTCAATTATTTTAGCTGTGCCTCTGTTATTATTTTAAACAAACATTGGTGCAATAAAAACTATTAACTAGCAATCGAAGAATGAAATTTTTACATAAATTGCAAGCAGAAAATATACAAATTTTTGAAATGAGCATGTGTATGGAATGTAAGTATGTGTTTGTGTGTATCTTTCAAAAATAAAAAGGATTTCATTAACTATTTTATATGGATATAAGGTAAGAACACAAAGAGAATGGATTTGTTAAAGAATAACACTTATTTGGACAAAATCCCGAGTTTTTTAAATAGTTTTTTCAAAATTTATTACATTTGCACTTTTTCTCAATATATCTAACCCATAACTAAGCCAAAATACACCGAATGAAAGGATAAGATTAAATAAAGCTAAATGAATATCAACTGTTAGTTGTTCCTTTAATGCATATAAATAGTATGAATAGTGAGGAACAGGATCATCTTCGCAGACATGGGCAACTTCAGCACCACCAGATATATAACAAGGAGCATCCCTCAAGGGGGAGAGACGTGAACCCTGATAAAAGCGAGATGGTAATATTTACCAGGAGGTACAAACCTCATGCCTTTAAGACATCTAAGCTAAAGGGCGTGGAGATTATTCTCTCTCGGTATAATCTCAGATACCAAACTAAAGTGGAGCCAGAACACGGCAGAAAGATCAAGGAAATCAATAATAATACTATACGCCTACAATACGGCCATAGGAAAGAGATGGGGTCCAAAACTCAGTATCGTGCACTGGATAAACACATCGGTAGTTGTACTAATACTATTCTACGGAGTCACCGTTTGGTGGTCAGCACTCGATAAAATCATCTCCAGGAGCAAATTAGAGGGAGTTCAAATATCGGTGATCATCCTGATAATGGGAGCAATGCCATCAACTCTTTCGAAGAAGCTTGATTGGAAGATGGGTTGCGGAACTTATTCTCCTACGCCCTCAGCAAGCATGATTATGAGAATACCAGATCACTGCAGCATTTTGCAGACGGAACTCCTGGATGCCACAGAGTGGTTGCACAAATCTACGGCAGCAGGATAATCGATTATAATTTACTCCGACAGTCAGACTGCAATCACGTCTAAGGTGGCCATAAATTGTAGGAACTTTTTTTTAACAAACTCTACCTGGACACAAGGATATCCCAGGAAATTTTAAGGCAGATGAACTATCAAGGGAAGGAACCCTTCTATCTACGATGAAACTTGCATACGACGCTGGTTTACCTCATGTTTAAATTGGCATTTACTGATTAAAAATTGGACGTGATCTCGGTGCAACGAGACCAGACAGCTATGACCAAAGTTGGACGCGAAAAAATCAAAGCATCTTATCCTTCTAGACCGGTTCTCCATTAACATAATAACTGGATACTGTTTAATGAGGCTTCATGGGAAAAGGATGGGTTATTACTCTAACGATTTCTGCCGCAGCTCTGGCACGCCCAGTCTTGACATCTGTGAGACACACGTTCCTTCTTCTGTCTCACTGAATTGGCCTCAGCGAATATTGGAAATCTCGTCGCCTTTAAAAGGAACACGAAAGGGTTCGATCATTTGAGAATATGAAGGTAGGAGACTCAGCGACAATATTGGCTTAAGTGCGCTGGTTTTGACCAACAGCCGCAACGACTCAACTCGCCTCATCATTGGAAATGTAGCAAAACTTTATAAATTTTAATAACCTTATTGCCAACAGTTTTTTGTGAATATTTATGAATCTACTCCGATCCCTTCTCCAATTTATAGAAGTTTACAAATAATATACATACACACATATGTACGTCATATATTCGAGCTAAATAATTAGTTCGATCATCTTTGGATAGCTCTAGCATTTGAGAATTTTCGAGCATTTTGATTGAAAAATTTGACTTTTTCCTCTGAACTTTTTTCCTTTTTTCTTTGTGCAGAGTGTAAAACTCATTGGAATTCTGAAGAAAGTTTGGCAAACAAAATTGCAAATTGAAAATGTTCAAAATACCATTTGAGTAGTTGAGCAACGGACGGGTATAGAGCTCGATACCCGGGTATCTGAAATTGTTGATTTTGGTTAAATTAAACATTTTGCGAAAAACTGATGAAATATAGATTATGTCTGTTACCGTAAATACTTTGAAGTGATCTACGAGCGTGGATCTCATGATTCCTAAAGGATATTTAAACCTTCTACCAGACAGTCCACTATTAGGATCTGATCAATGTTGAATGTTTTTTAAATTGCAGCTCTGCCTATCTTTATATTCTGGCTTATAGTGTTTTCGATTCCGGGTCAAGATATATTTTCGTTTTTTATGCAATTCATACCTTTTATAAGCAGTTGTTCCGTCATCGACGCTTTTTCTTGCATAAAACTGTTTTACAGTCGATCGAAAAATCGTTCGTAGATGTCAAGGAATTTCATTAATTTTAAAACATTTATCACCATCGGGATTTTGTCCACTGACTAAATGCCTCACACTTCGGAGCATATATAGTACGAGTATATGATATGTGGATATAATAAGTAGGAATAATCCTGTGATATTAAGAATTTTCCTATCTATAGCTAACTTTAAAATTGTAATAAAGAATCGATATTTTTCATAAATTCACACTTTTTCTCATATATATCTGAAAATATATAGTGTTGCTAGAAAATTTCTAGAAGAGCTAAGAATCGCATAAGGTTTATATTATTATTATTATTTTTATTTTTATTTTTATATTGCTTATTATAGTTGTTAATTGGTAAAACGTTTAGAAAACAAAAAGTCTAGTGAAACTCGATTTACATACCTGAATAGCAACATGACGCCTTGTATAAATGATTGGAAGTTGTTGTGCCTAGTAATGGTATTTTCCATTGTATCTAGTTTGATATTCCCAAACACCTATGCACGTAGCGAATGTGATTTAATTTTAATTAAAAATCAGTTTTTATTCTACTATTTTTTTTTATTTGTAGGAAAAAAATGAATTAAAGGAAGTGAAATCAATGTTGGAAAATCAAATAAACTAAAAATAAAATAATTACAAAAAAAAAAAACAATGAAAACGGGAGGAAACATATATTCAAATATATTTAATTTAGATAACTATTATTTTGTTCTAATTTAAACAAAACCATAAATAATTTAATGTATGTACGTGTTTGTATTTATGTTGATCGAAACTTTGTAAGAAATAGAAAACCAATAAGTAAAAGCTGTAAGCCTTCTACTGTACTACAAAACTGCTCACAAATATTACATTATTACTGAGGATCGAATTGTTGTCAAACAAAAATGGGTTAAAGTGAAGGATGTGATTACAGTGAGCCCATACGTGGTTACGTTCGTGACGCAATCCATGTGACAAATTCAAAAAGCATTTAATTTCAACACATACTACAAATTTTCTTAACGGGCATTTTGAATTCATACAAACATCTTATTTAAAGGAAATCGGGGATTTGCTTGTGTGATAACTCCAATTGAATACCTTCTCCAAATGACCACAACCTGGTTGGATTAGAATATGGTTATTAAATTAAATCCTTATTTTAGCGCTCAGTTAAAGCGTTAATTATTTATTGAAAAAAAAAATGTTATTTCAAGAGAAATGTTGTTCCAAGTAGTATTTGGTTTAGTGAATATTAATAACTCTGTGTGTACGTAGGTATGTGTTTTTTGTTAAACAATATGTTACTTTCAAATATGCCTTACGTGGAGGTGGTGGTGGTGATTAATATTTCAAGTCTATGTATGTACTCGTATATACATGGCGTATATGTAAATGAAACTGTTCCGATAACTCGTTGAGTAAATTCAAAATGATATATGTATGTATAAAAATTATTTTAACTACATTCCTCAAACACAACTCGAAAAGTAGCAACGAATAAAGGAACTATGTTCAATAGAAATGCGTACAAATATTATTTAATTATCATATATTGTATTGTATATCCAGATGTTTGTGTACTAACTACTGTAAAATGAAGCTAACCCCCAAAGACAACTGTTATACAAAGTATATGTATATGCATGTACTTGTATACGAGTATATGTATGTAAGTGACAACTTTGATTTTGATTTAATAGGTCTGGGGTAGTCAATACATAATACTGTTTTGTTAGGATTTTTATTTTCAAAAACAACGCCAACACTATTTAAAAGAGCAACGCCAACAAATATATTAATATCATATAGTATATGTATATGTACTTATATGCAAATATTATATGGATATAGTAAATATTATTTATATGGGTATATGTAATATATACGAAATTTTAAGTAACTTTTACTTTTAAAAGAATATTTTACTTGTTATAAATAATTACTTTGATTGGCAATACTTGTTTTAAGTCAACATTGTTTTTGTTTACCGAAAGAGCAGCATGATTCCACCGGAGAATGACTGAAAGTTATTGTGACGGTTGAGTTGTGTATCCGGATCATATTTTATGTTTCCAAAAACCTTTAAATTACACACATTTAATGATTTCGATTTCGTTTCAACGTTTTGTTATTTCATTTTATATTTTATTTTATTTATTTTTTTTTTGGATTTTCGATCATGTTTAATATGCAATTGCATTTGCAATAATTGTAACAAATTTCATCGATGACATATCATTTTCGGTTTCGTTAACGTTAGTTTGTATTTGTACAATATATAGACGTAAATATATCAAAAGATTATTAATCATTTTATCAAATTGTTATGAAAACCTATACACTAAAAATATCGCTAACTACTTGTACTAATGAGTATGAGCACACTCGATTTTTCATCAACACAGACCGAATAAAAATTTGGAACAAAAAAAATCACACACACACACACGTCATCTACGTATGTATATACATTTGTATGTAAGTAGGTATGTACTTAGTACCAGCAATTGTTTTTTTTTTTACTACATACTCGCTATCAGCAACAAATTCAAGGACTTTTATACTGAAATTTTCGTCTGACCTCTCGAGTTCATATGAAGGATGGGACATCTTTCGTTTGCTCTTTGGACTACGACTTATTTGAGCTTTGCCACCTTCAATGACATTTCCGATGTATCAAATATTCAGTACAATCTTTGCGGTTTAGGAAATTATTAAAGTTACGCTTGTATTAAGGGGATATATTTGAAAACTTAATTCCAAACTGACGAATCTTCAACCACAACACCATGAAACTCGGGCGAAAACTACCTCCCTTCCTGACAAGTTTATGGATACATTTGGGAAGTGAGCTCGTCAAATCGATTCAGTATCTAACAAAACAGCTTCTGCTGTGCTGCCAAAGACTATTATGACTGGAAAGACGAAGGTGAAGAGGTCATTGCAGTCATAAAGGGCGACACAATTGATAATATGTTAATACGCAAAAGGCCAATAAGGGCAGCCATTTTAATGCGATTGAAACATTTCAATAAAGACAAGCTTATTGTAAAATATATTATTTTACAACATTTATCAGCTCTTTCGTTTCGTAGGATAGCATCATCGCCCGATCTTGTAAACCTTACATAAGCCCTACTTAACTACAAATTATGAATACAACACACAGCTCTGAAGCGATTTTCGGCCGAATTACTCAACCAATTTGGTGTTTGCGTTCTGTTGGGTTTTCAACAAAGGGTGCGGGACCTATAGTTAATTTGAAACCCTCCCTAATTTTTAATTTAAAATAATTTTTTTCATAATTTTAGACATTGGTCTGGATTCCAATCCATGACCTTTCTTGCACAGGGTAGTACGCCGTGCTAACGAATCGGCTATTGCACAAATTGTACACAAAAATATGGATGCAAATCTAAATGGGACAATGATGCACAGTAAAATTAAAAAGTAAGACGTTGGCCGTAAAGAAAAATATTGTGAACAGAAAGCCGTCATGATTCGTTTTAGCTCAGTATATAGTCGCTTGGCGCGCAATACCCGCGCTGAAATTTTTATGAACAAAAACCCGAAAGGCAGTACCGCGGATTAATCCATGAATAAAAAATTGGCTGCAATAGTGAAAACGTTAATATGCATAAATTGAATTCACTTATACAATTCAGAAAGGGTTATTTTTTAGCTATTATCTTTTGGGCAACACCTGTTTAAACAGCTGATGCACGTTTCGTGTTTTGTATCACTGTCAAACATCTTCAGTTTGGTCTATAATTGAACCAAGAATCGTCTTACAAACGAACAACGCTTGCAAATATTGAGTGCGTAAATAAGAAGAATTATTGATTTTGGAGTGAAGATCAGCCAGAAGCATTGCAAGAGCTACCAATGCATCCCGTAAAAGTCGCACTTTAGTGCGGTTTATGGGCTGGTGGCGTCATTGGACCGTACTTCTTCAAAGATGATGCGAATCGTGATGTAATTGTGAATGGTGAGCGCTATCGTAGCAGTGGACTTATTGAGAGAAGAGTTCGGTGAATATTTTATTTCACGTTCGGAACCGGTCAATTGGCCGCTTAAATCGTGCGATTTAACGCCTTTAGACTATTTCTTTGGGGCTAAGTTAAATCTAACTTCTATACAGACAAGCCCGCTTCAATTGACCCATTGGAGGACAACGTTGAAGCATTTATTCGTGAGATACCAACCAACCAACTGGAAACGCTCAAGATTAAAAAAAAATGTTTGAGTTGGCTTCACAGAAATATACCTTTATTTTATAAGGGCTTTCGATTTAAATTGGCACTCTCTGACAAAAAAAAAAAGTTTTTCGTAATTCGTTTGTGCTCAAGGTTGGTATTTTTTTTTAGTATTTTTAAGTATTTTTTAGAGTGAAATATTTAAAATGGGACGTTGCAGTGAAATGGCTTTGGGAGTTCAAGGAAAGAAATTTAAAACGCTCTCAGATATTATCGTAATAATAAAATATTTTGAAATAAATAAAGTAAAAGTAGGCACACGAAGACCACAAAAAACAAAGTTTCCTCTTTGGTGGACAGAGCATAGAGAGCCTTTTGCATCTTCCTCACAAATACGAACTGCAATATATGAGGATTAATGCGAGCATTACCAGTAGGACTGTTAGCCAGCGGCTATTGGAAAACCACCTTCGGAGAAGGCATAGTGCAAAAAAGCCAAAAATTTCAAACAATAATCGAGAGGCGCGATTGGAGTTTGTCAGATTTCAGAAAGATTCTCCTCTTTCCTTCTGGAATTCGGAACTTTGGAGCGATGAATTTAAATTGCCTGGGCCTGATGGAAGAACTTATGTGCGACGCAAGGCAAATAAGGAATTTTAGCCGTTGTAAATCAAGAACACGATTAAGTAAGTTATGTTATGGTGTGGGGTTGCTTATGAACTTTGGTATTGGTTCTGTTCTGCAGATAACGGGCAATATATTTGAACATTTGCAAGAGCTCAAAAATTTTATACCGACTCTTGGGCAAAGCTACTATGGCAAAACTTGTTCAATTCTGCGTATAAAATATAAATGAGCAAAATTGAGCAGGGTTGCAATAAACCCTGTACTTTAATCAATTTCCGATTTTAAGGTCTGTGCACTCTTAGTTCAATCAAACAAAGGTGTTTAAATCACTGCTATATCGATCTTTCATTGCATTGCTTTTTGTGCAAACGCGATATTGAACGCCAAGCGACGATGTGTTCTCTCATACAGACCAGCAAAAATCAATGTAGTTTGCCAGGTCTCTGATGACTTAGTAAGTGGCCATCTCTTGTATTGATGAAAATAATCAATAATAATAATAATAATTACGTTTATTATTTTATTCTTATAACGCCTAAAGCCCCTGGGCGAAAACATTTGCAAGTACTAAGTACAAAATAATGTGTTTCAAATATTGAAATAGACGAATTGGTCGATTTTATCACATATCTTCATTGTAGTTTATTGATGGAACTTTCGAGACAATTTTATTATGGATGATAAAACTATAAAAGGTCATATAGCTAAGCTATACGAGTACATCCCTAAGGAATGGTAAATTGCTACATGTAATCGTTTGAAACAAGTGATATAAAGGATTTATGAAGATTTTGAAGGAAATAATCGTATTACTCCAAGAATTGAAACAATTATGTACACACTATGTTGGACAAATTTTAATCGTCACTCCTTCCGTTCGATCACCGGAAAACATGTCAAAATTCCGATTATAATACAATATTCGAATATAGCAAAATTTAAATAAAATAACGATAATTACAAGCAGCAGATGAAATGAACAATACTGCAAGCTATATCATTTTGCTGTTCATTCTTGAATTTCTTTGAATTCTTGCTCCGATTCAAAGGTGGCTCAGAGTTTATGGTTGTTCTCATTCCTTTAAATCACTTTTTTCTAAAAATATTTTCGAAAAACCTTTAATAAGTTCTTCATCGAAACGAATAACTAGGCTAATACATATATCCGTTCGATTTGAAATAGGAAAAAATTATTACACCTATTCATTATATATTTTTTTTTAATTTTCACTAAAAATAAAAAAAATAATATACAAAACACACAAAGACTCTTTAATAAATAATCCAAGTAAAACAATACAACCTAAAATAAAATTAACTTAAATGATTAAACTTTGAAATTATTCATACTTATTGATATATAAAAATAAATAATAAAGAGGAATGAGAGAAATATTTTAAAATTATAATATATAATAAGAATGAATTGTTTTTTTTTTATGATTATTTACATAGTCATATATTTGGAACTTACCTGCATGCCAATAATGGCATAAATAAAAAAGAGCATTGCTATTAACAAACAGACATATGGAAGTGCTTTGAACGATTGTACAAATGTCCACAACAGGATTCGTATCGTATATCCTTGGCGGAGCAATTTTATGAGACGCGCCGCACGAAATAAACGCAGGAAGCCAACGTTGATTGAGTTCGACTGTAAAATATTTTTGGTCAAGAAATAAAAGAAATAAACAAAATACAATTAGCGGGCTTTGTTATGAGTGCATCGTATATCATTTGTCAGGCACTGAGGTTGTCGTTAGTCATTCCTTTTCATTTAAATATTTATTTAAAAATTGCAATTTCTCTAGTTTCGTAGAAACTGTCAAATATGTATTAAATAAGTTTACGGTGGTTTAGTAAATAGTACGTACAAAATTTTGTTATTTCTTTTATAATTTGTTCCAACTAAATTATTAATTTTATATTCTATACAGAAATCATGAAATAATGAAAGATATGAAATAAATAGGCCCAAGACATTGCGGAAAAAAATTTTAAATGTTTATTTAAATTAAAAATTTACATATGTAAGTAAGTATAGCTAGGTATAATCGCATATATGTATGTGCAAATTTACACACCAATCCATAAAGTGATAGTGGACTCATGTTAGTAGACATTCTCAAAATTATATACAAATGTAAGTAATTTTTTTTTTAATACTTTTTTTTTACAACTGTTGGAATTGCTCCACTAAATGTGTATATAGAAAAGTTAAAATGAAATTAAACATATACGAAATTCTGCACACCAATTGCTCATAGTAAATTTGCAAAATGCTAATATATGAAACTGAAAATCCAATAAAAAGCCGATAGTAGATAGTGTTGAGAGGTCTTTAATTGAAAGGGTGTATAAGTTTAAAAAAATATATATTTTTTTTTTCCTAGCCATCATCTGTACACTATTAATAGTGGCTTTTGAAGTTCTAGTATGGACGCATTAAATGATATAAGTATACTCTATGTGTATAAAAATATAGTAAAATCAAAAATTATAAAAACTATTTTTGCAATTCGAATTACACAGCCAATTAGATTTTGTCAGTAGTCAGCAAGGTAATGATTGGATGCCATCGCCCGCGAGTACTATCATATTCACATACAATACAATACAATAAAACGTATGTACGTGAAAGTGATACGTATTTTGACCAAAATATTTTACGCACAGACTTCGGGTGCGTGCCATAAACGCGAGCGTATGGTATTCGTCAGAGTGCTACGTTCGTTTATGGTAGCACGTAATATCATCTGTGACACGACGTGTACTGCCTCGCAGTGGCTTCGTGAGATTCACTTCTATATGCACGGTACAGTAATATAATATTATAATACACTCGATCACATTCGACGCGACGCAGAGCAGGGATGTTACGTATATCTCATATTATTAATGCCTTATGAGGATCGCACATGCAAAATATTTAAGAATAAAATTGAAAAGGCCAAATTAAACCGAAGATTTGACCTTTAATCCTTAAACAGATGTAAAATTTTACAATAAGCACTAATCTCAGAAACTATGCTATGCTTTTAATGGGAATACAATAAGATCAAATTAGTCAAATACGCGAGATATTACGGCACAGCTAAATTTATTAGTTATCAGTTATGTGATAAACAAAAATTTATATTCCATTCAATACTTCGCTTAATTCTTATTCATAAACTATCCGCACAAATATTTAAATACAAAAATATCATGTATTACCCTCCGTTGCACATCTTTATTCACATTCGCTTTCCAAAAAGATTCGTATAATGAACATATTCGTAACATCCCTAGCGTAGTGTCGATGGAGATGTTACATTTCGTCGATTTCAACTTTTTGCGTTTAAATATATATATAGAAGTACTAAATATATATTTTTTATATTTTTTATATATGCATTGCGTAGAGGTAATTTATAGAGATAGTAGGTTAAAATATGCAAACATATAGAAAAATCAGACTTTGTTTCAAATGGGTACAAAAATTGCGGTAACTACAATATAAATATAAATATATATATACAATACATACGTACATTAAAAAGTATTACATTATAATTAAACTATGAGGATAGAGTTAGTACACATACTCATATTAAAGGTAGATATACGAGCATATACTCAGATTTTCATTTTGCACGTTTCGAGGGGTAGTCAAGAGGTATTGCTATAAGCTGTTATAATTTTTCAGACATCGTTGAAATTATAGGTCTCTAGTTATAAATAAAGGGATAAACAGTTTTAATGTTTTGCACCTTAGCAGGATTGCATGGATTGCAAATAAGCTATATAGAATATGCGGCGATTCGTACTGAAGATAGTCAATTAGAAAAGCTTACATTATAGGCTATAGAACGACCGAGTAGCAAACTATATATATAGGGTCGGAGTACTAAGGTACACTCCTATTAAATTTCAAAATGTTTTTTGCTTTATTTTTTTTTTTTTTTTTGTTAAGCGGCAATATTCAAGTGGTTAATGGATAACAACAATTAGATTAGTAGCCAAGCAACAAGTCTATTTACAAGGAGAAATATTTCTTGTGTTCATATTAAATATCATAAGCAAATGACTTAAGTTAATATTAAAGTAAACTTATAGATTTTTTTGTATTCTATATAAAGTGCATTTGTTTATAAATGGTGTTAGAAAATAATAAAACAAAAAACAATGCTATTCAAGATCTACGAGAGGAGGGAAGCATTTATAGGTTAGACCAATCACTATTTCAATGTGTCAAACTTTTCAACAACAATTGTTGCAAATCCTTAAGTAATTTAATTAAAAAAAAAAAACAATAAGATTATACACGTTAGAGTTTAGTATTGTAATCTATTAATATTGACTGTTACGAGTTAGCTAAGCAGTGTAGTTATAAGGTACTAGTCAGTTGTAGAAATTAATTGTAAATAAAAAAACCCTTGTTAAATATAGTTTAGAAAAATTAACGGAGAAAAATACGGTAATGCTTTACCGAGCTTTCTCAGTAGTTAAATACACATATATGTAAGTCTTATTACAGTTATCTCATGAATTCGAAACGGAAAAAAGTTTACTTTCTCACAAATCTAGAATATATTATTAATACCTATAAGGAAAAGTAAAAAAAATTCTCTTCTATATATTTTCCCTGCAGATACCGTGAATTTGTCTGAAAAACAACACACAACTACGGAACTAGCAGTTAATTATTTAAAAAACTTGGTATCTCTAATACAAGTTTACTGAGTTATCCATTGATCGAGTAGTCGGGTTTGGGCAGAACGGATATGAACATCAAAAATTTGTTATTAATAATTGTGGATATCTGGCCCTTATTTATCGAAATTAATTTATGCCATTACATTACGACAATACGTATACATAATTAAGTTCGCTGATAGAAACTTCTGGAGCAGTCAGATAAAAAAATTTAAGTTTTATTTGAACTGGCTACTGAAAAATTGTGGTTCAAAAATAGCATTAATTTAATTGTATTTTTGATATATCCTGCTGTTAGTCGGAACATCATAGCAGTTGAACGTTTATTTTTTAGTAATTTTTTCATTGACTAAAACTAAATTATTATATTTAAAACGAGAAAAACAGTAAGAATATGTATATGTTATATGTTAATTAAGTTTTCGTGTTTGGGACATACTCGTATGTGTGTTGCAAAAAAAAATTACTCCTTTCAATTAGATATTTTTTGTTCAAAATGAATTTGTTCCAGAAGTTCCAGGAAACCTCATTCAAATGTTAATACTGCAAATACAAAGCTTCATTAGCTGAAATTATTTTCTTACAGAGATCTTAACAACCAATTCGAGAAGAAAACAAATTTTGATAACTTATTACAGATTTCTGAATTTTTGGCGCCTTTTAAACTTTTATTATAAATGTGCCAAAATTGGTTAAGTATTAACTAATAGCAGGGATAACTAACTAAATTAACTACAAACCTAAAGCTAAAGAGAGCTGTAAACATTAATTTGAAGTATTTTAAAATATTGGGATGTGTATTTCGGCTTAAAAAGCAACAACATTTTCAATTCAGCTGTATAAAATTCAAGCGTATTTCTAACAATATACATATGTATGTATGCTCTATTCAACAGGGGGGAATATTTGCTCTAATGAGAAGTATTTAGCTTGCTTGAAATTATTTAAATGTAATAGAAATAGTTGAAGTAATTATAACTTACAATTCAGTATTATTACTTACATCCTGGAAAATGTGTATGTAAACAAATTTGTATTATCAATCAATCGCAATTGAGGCCGTTAAATTTAATTTATTGATTTTTTATTAGATGTATACCAGTTTCGCATATCGTTGTAGATGTTGTTTTGGTTTGGTAGCAGAATTGCGTGTCATTTTCAAAATTTTTCAATATTTTCATTTTTGTTTCGCGTTACGGTGTGTAATTGATGTGGTTTCAATGTGATTTTTCATTCGAGTGTTTGTGTTTTTGCAGATTTGCATCCATAAGCAAATTGACATTTTCGAGTTTTAGTACAATGAATGTTGAAAGTATGCATTCAATACACATTCAGATATACGAAAATAACCATACATGTTTGTTATATATATATATATAAATATATATATTGTATATTTATACATACATACATATGCAGTAAATGTCAGAGCATTCAGAGTATTTGAACGTTTAGCATATGGAAAAATATGAGTTATTCATTTATAAATTTTAAGTTGTCACAGAACATCATACATTTAACGTTTACAACAGTTGCAGTAGTTGGGATGCAGCAAATTTGTGGTTATTATGCGTTCGATTATTTGATCATTTGACAAATGTATATATATATGTTTTATTTTGCATATACATAAATATCATTGCGTTCCATAAATATCGTGCATGTTGTGAGTAGTTTAATTCAATTCAGTGGTAAAAAATTGCGAATTATTTTGTATTTTTGGTATTCAAATTGTGACAGATTCAGATTGAGTTATTACGATTGTTGTTGTTGCAAAAAAGAAGAAATAAATTGAGAATTTCATTAATATCAAAAAAACAAATTACGAAATTTAACATGTTTGTTTTTGTAATAATTTTTTCATATCTTTTAATTATTATCTTTGTTGCCGTAGTAAAAGGGAATACATATGTATATTCGTATGCTGGTAAGTGAACGCAGGTAAATAGAAGCGCAAGGTACTTCGGGGAGCGTACAAAAAATATTTTATAGCGTTCAATTGTCATAGTAACCAAGCGAATAGTAAGCGATCTAGCAGGTTAACGGTCGAGCGATACATCAAATGGGTGACGTCAAATGGAACGGAACGGAATGGAACACGCACGATGCATTAAATTGAATATACGTGTATGTATGTACATAAATATGAATGCGTGTATGTGTTTTTTGTTAAATACATATATGTGTATATATGTACATTAACTACATGTTTAGCCAACTTGCAACCATCTACATAATAACTGCTATTTTTACATGATTAGACAAGTTGATTCGTTTTGCTGTTTCGAAAATAAACCTAAATAAAAATTCAATTTTTTGTGAAGCACTACACTTTTCAAATGAACGCGTCACGAATTTTCGTATACTTCGAACTGTTTGAGGTAATTTTCGGCCATTTTTGGGCACATATTTGGGCGGTATCTCAGTCATGATTTGAGGAATGTTGGGTTTTTAGTGTTCGGGTCTTTCACGTAGTCCCATAAAGTTGGCTATCTTTTGTCGATATATATACATATATACAGCATTGAGAATGGTCAGCTGGCTTCATTTGTTTTTTGAGGTGCAAGTTCAAGCTCAAAATGTGTCAAAATGTGCCGTAAAAAATTCTCAACTCTTGAGAGCGTCCGGAAAGACTCGCATACTGATTAGGGTTTATGCCACACTTTCACTTATAGTAGCGATTTTGTGATGGAACGAGCAAAACGATAAGGCACAGACCTTACAATATATAACAACCGATCCAGTATCTTCAAATAAGTTTAAATTTTTACCTATTAAATATTTGAGTAGTTGAAGGTGTACGATCACCACCATAAAGCACGAAACGTGGCCACGTTTGATTCATTTGATTTTGTAGTAGGTTTTAACAATTTTAATATGAGTCCAAAACTCATATGTTTCTTTTCATCAATTAATTTTGTTTAGCGATGTGTAAATTTTATTGTTTACAAATTTTAACGGTCAATCTATGTTATCGCTAAAGATATACATTTTATATTGTTTTGATTGAATTTTGCTTTCGTTTCTTGATGAAAATTTAGTGACAGGTCACACGATCAAAAGAAAGAGTATCAAGTGATATTTTTTGTATAATCAATTGACTTTTCTCCAGTTCCTCTTATTGGTCTTGTCTTTTATTTGATTATGTATGTCTAGCAGCTGAATTTGATTTATTTCATTTCATTAGCTTTATTTTCTAGGTAATGCAAGCCCTCGACTATACCCATTGACACGTTTCTAATAGCCAAACCAGGCGAGAACAGCGACCCAGCTGAAGCAATCTAACTTATGTGTACTCCATGTAAATGAAAAGTTACCGCTTGACGAGAAACCTGAATAGATTTGAGTTTTTCTCATAAAATCAGATCAGCTTATTGCTATCTACTGTACAATGTTGATAATACAGAGAGTATTTTTAATGGCCAAAGTAAATATATTTTTAAATTAATGCTAAAATTATTACAAAATATTTCAAGAATATATAAATTACTAAATTTATTGATGAAAATTATAAACTTTTTTGAAAGTATGTAAGCACACTTGCAGCTGCCAACATTTCGCCGCAGCAAGCAACAACCATATTTTTTGACGCCATATCCCTCTTCCAATCGGAGGTATGACAGGGAGGTATGCAATATGGCTGATTCGGCTTTTGGAGAAGCCATTGCAAAGTCTTCATCTTCAGAATTAATGTCTTAAGCTGCTTATTGTCCTCAACCCTTGCTTTTGGAACGCTTTAACTAAAGCCATAATTGAAATTAAGTGCGGTTATCATACCTTTGTATTTCACTGTGTTTTGAAATAAGCAACGAGAACTTTAAGTGGATGTTCCATATTCACAATGTAGTTTTTATCTTGCACTTCGGCTTTTAGCTTAATTATTTGTTAAATTTTACTACATTTTCTCAATATCAAAGTACTTGAACAAGAGAAGAGTAAAAAGCTTCGATGCCACTCCGTAAAGGTGAATAATTTTTACTGCCTTCATGATATTTTGAAGCTGTCAACGGGGTATAATGCAGTCGAATTCACATCCGAAAAGGTATTACTATCCTAAAGTTCTTGCCAAAAGTTATTTCCAAAAAAGTGAACTAAAAAGAACTAAAGATATATTAACAAATTGTTATCATAAAAATATATCTCATAATCGGAATATTTTAAGCACTGTTGGGGGTAATTCCATTTGCATTAGGAAATAACATCAGCTACTTTACTTACTTTACTTTTACTTTACTTTCACTTTTGAAAAGGTTACTTTATTACCTGATTGATTTTATTCCTAATCATTACAACAACCAATGTCTTTTGGCACCGAAATACTCGTATTAGAATTACCCAAATAAAAAAAGAGTTTAATGTGGTTATAAATAAAAACGAAGCATGTCAAGTTAACACCTGTTCTAAGTACCTAGCAGAGTACTTTATTTTAGCTGTGGTCAAGTTAGAGTGAGATCAATCGCTTAGAGCGATTACTAAAGTTGTTGCTATCTCTGTAACTTTAAACCACATTTCTTGACAATAACAGTAAAAACAACATAACCGTTCCATTTTTTAGAGAAAATAATCATTACGGGCTAGACTTTCCCGTGGCAGCAGGAAAACTTTTACTTTGCTTAACGATTTATGAGTGTTCCCCAAACTGAGTTAAGTTTTGCAAAGATTATAAATTATTTCCTCTTTTGTTTTACGATTAATTTGTCGTAATTGCTACATTTAAACAGTTATATAATTATCTAACATAAAAAAAAATAATTGTTGCTTTATAACCACTTAAGTGATTTTCAGTAGGTGTGTTTTGATGTTTTAAGCTAACTCGAAAAGCTTGTAGATTTTTATGACAGGCGCTGTTTTCCAAGTCAGATATACATCGGAGAAGATAAAATTCCCTACAGAGGGTTGACAGCATATTGAAACGCATATTTTGGCAGTCGGTATTGCCATGGTTCGAATCCGTAACCCTGTGCTTACGTTTAGAATCATAACTAATTTGTTGTGCAGATCACACAACATGGCTGGAAGTTATTTCTTGTTTAAATTTTTTCAATTTTTTTTTTTCGTTCGGTACGTACTTACCCCATATTGGCACTTATAAAATTTGGCTAATGATTCACAATAAAACTTAAGCATTTCAACAAAGCTATGCTTCAATAAATAAAAGCTCAAGCTTCAAAATGCTTAGTTTTATTAATATAGATTAATATTAAAACACCCTACACCCAAAAGCGTTGTACTGATGCATGGAGGCCTCAACTATTTAAAAGTTAAACAAGAAGGGACCGCAGTTATAGCATTGCCAAATTTCTTTTCAAAATTTTAAAGAACAAAAAATGGCTGAAAGGGTTAGCCTCACCGTTTTATGAAAAGTTGAAGTCGAAATATTTTTTAATTTCATTTATATTATTTTTAATGTACTTTAACTTTCACAACAAGGAAGCAGAAGATATAAATAACGAATGAAAAAGTTCAATTTCCAGGGTTTTTCTTTTATCGACTATAAAATAAAATTCCAAGCCACGATAAAGTTGATTTGAAAGCTGTTAATTATTGTCATGTTGGCTAAAGGCTTTTGCTTAATTATTTAGCTGAAAGATAAAAAAGTTTGTCATCATGATCGGAAAATTTAAGCAATTAAGTTGAACCTACGTTAACTTACTTTCCCCTATACAAAAAATAAATGTATTTTTTTTTTTTAAATGTACTCTCATTCGTGTATTGTTGATTGCCTATTCAAAATTGATCCAAGATACTTTATCTGACTGTCTTTTAATATACATATGTATGTATATATTTCTTTTATTGGCCCTAAAGCGATGTTTCGCTGACTTGAATTTACGGTGCGTGTTGAGCTTCCTACCGAGAGGTCACGACAATTAGAGAAATACGTCTTTTTTAAGTTTTAACAGTGTTAAAGTATTATTTTATAACTAAATGTTTAGTTAGCTGCTAAGTTTTCAACTGCAAATATCAAATCAGCGTAATTGATTTGCAAATGCATTTTTTAGTCAT